ACCTCACCAAATTGGGTTTAGGGTTGGATTCATGCAGATCATACGGAGCACCTGTTTTGGGGGGTACCTGGTACCACTCTAAACTGTAAGAGATGCTTTCCCACATTAGTGGACCTTTGTCTTCTCAGGACCTGACCTCTGCTCTGACCAAGAAAATTACTCTGAAGACCCCACTGGTTTCCTCACCCATGGACACAGTGACAGAGGCTGGAATGGCCATAGCAATGGCGGTGAGCCCCATGGGGTAGGGGAGAAGCAGGAATGCCATCTCCTTTCCCTAAGACATCCAGTCTTGCCTCTCTTATTCTGTCACTTATTCCCTCTCTTCTGCTCATTCTGTAGCTTACAGGTGGTATCGGCTTCATCCACCACAACTGTACACCTGAATTCCAGGCCAATGAAGTTCGGAAAGTGAAGGTCAGAAGGGCAAGGATCATGGCCAAGAGCTCCCGGGAAATGCACTGAGGTGGGGCGGGGTGGGAGTGGGAGTTTATTCTGCCAATTAAGGATCCTTTCTTCTCACCATGGGGATCAATTACTGAGAAGAACCTAAGACCCCGTTTCTTAAGGCAACAGAACAGGTACAGGTGGACAGTACCTGTAGCCCAGCAATGTCTCTTAAGTGTTGGTGTGATTTGGTTCTGTGGCACTGCCAAAGGTGGAGTTAGGGACAGACTCCATGCTTCAGACCAAGAGCCTGATGAAAGTGGTTGAAAGATGCAATGCCCATTTTCACCATCCTTTCCAGAAATATGAGCAGGGATTCATCACAGACCCTGTGGTCCTCAGCCCCAAGGATCGTGTACGGGATGTTTTTGAGGCCAAGGCCCGGCATGGTTTCTGCGGTATCCCAATCACAGACACAGGCCGGATGGGGAGCCGCTTAGTGGGCATCATCTCCTCAAGGGACATTGATTTTCTCAAGGAAGAGGAGCATGACTGCTTTTTGGAAGAGGTAGGTGCCAATGGTAGAGCACAGCTAAGCTTTGGCAGCCTAGGCTGAAGACAAGAAGCTTCTGTTGCCCTTATGATAATATCTCTGAGGGCCTAGCCAAGTTTCTGACTCCTTCATTGGGTTCTTGCAGTCTTTCCCTACCAGAGGCTCTCAAACTGTCCACATGCTTGCCAGCATTTATGCTTTGTTTTTTGCGACTCCTAGGGTGGGAGCAGTGTTCAAGGATCAATGTCAGTTGTCCTCTTCTAATTCTCTTCACATTGCTCCTGTGTGGTCCTTCTACATAGTTGTTCTCTGTGCCACTTGTCCTTTCTACTCAATTCTCCCTTTTGCTGCTATACTGCTGTAGGAACTATTGCGTTCCCTTGAGGAAGGGTGGTCTAGGTGCAGGTGTGTGAACATGGTGGTCTTTAGAACCTCACTCCTGAGTAGGGCAGGATCTGTGGAGAGGTCTGGTTTCTGACTGGCTTTTCCTCACAACTCTCATTCCCTATCCTAGATCATGACAAAGAGGGAAGACCTGGTAATAGCCCCTGCAGGCATCACATTGAAGGAAGCAAATGAAATTCTGCAGCGTAGTAAGAAAGGTAAGTCTTATAGGTGGGAAGGGGGCCTGGAACTAATGCTCAGGGTCCTAATTCATGTCCTGCCCTGATCTCAGGAAAGTTGCCCATTGTAAATGAAGACGATGAGCTAGTGGCTATCATTGCCCGGACAGACCTGAAGAAGAACCGGGATTACCCACTGGCTTCCAAAGATGCCAAGAAGCAGCTGCTGTGTGGGGCAGCCATTGGCACTCATGAGGATGACAAGTATAGGCTGGACTTGCTTGCCCAGGCTGGTGTTGATGTAGTGGTTTTGGTGAGCTGCTACACAGGCAGGGAGGGGCAGTATGGGCAGCTGCCATATCACAGCCTGACTGGGACTTACTTTCCTGTCCCAGGACTCTTCCCAGGGAAACTCCATCTTCCAGATCAATATGATCAAGTATATCAAAGAGAAATACCCCAGTCTCCAAGTCATTGGAGGCAATGGTAAGGCAAGATTGGGTACTGAAAGATGTGTGGTGGGAGTGGGGGAGCTGGGCTCCCAACGGACCTTCACAGGAGCCTTTCCTCTCCTTCACTGTAGTGGTCACCGCTGCTCAGGCCAAGAACCTTATTGATGCAGGTGTGGATGCCCTGCGGGTGGGAATGGGAAGTGGCTCCATCTGCATCACCCAGGAAGGTAAGAATATGCTTTGGCAGAACCCACAGAGACCCTGGCTTCAGGCCCCACATACCCTGAAGTCAAGCACTCTTAGTGGAACACCACTGAGTCCTCCTCCAGTAGAAGCAAACCTGGGGCCAGATTGGCCTCTTGGATGGGTGACATGGCTGGGAGCAAGACAAGTTCTTGCCATCCCTCACCTGCCACTCCCTCGCCTAGCCTGGCCTCCTTGCTCCTGCTCTGCGCCCTCTCTAAACTCTGGTCTGTTTGTTTTATTTAGTGGCTCCCAAGATCCCTCCAGACATAAAGTCCCACAGCCCCAAATGCCCTTCTACTGTCACGGGCTGCTATAGTAAGTCCAGCCCGGCCCAGCTGCCCACTGCCCGGCTGCTTGGTTGACTGTAGCTGTAGCTCCCGGGGTTTGTGGTGCTGACGGGTGGGCAGGGCAAACTGATATACAGACCATGGTTTGGGGGGCTGCTGAAGAACACAGCTCCATCCTCCTCCTGGGGCCCTGATAGGACAGGACCTCCTTAGGCAATCCCTGCCCTGTCCACATCTTCTGCCATAGGCATGGTTCAAGAACCAACTCTGAAACCTGCTCTTCCTTCCACATGACACTGCCCTGACCTTGCCTGAGCTGCCCACCATGCAGGGAGGAAGGGTGGGCCTGACTCAGTGCCTCTGGGAACTAACTGCACTGCACGGTGACTCTTGCCCCATCTGATGCCAGCTGGGCGGGGCTTTCCCGGCTGCTAAGACTGCATGTGCCTGAGGCTGCCCTGGGCACTGCACACGTGCACGCGCACACGCAGGGTTGAGTGAAGGCCACCACATTTGTTTGTACTATTCAAGGCAGATGGGGCAGCAGCCATCCCAGACACATCTCTTCCTCTTCCAAGCTGCAGTTCTGGTACAGTTGTAGCCAAGAGCTCCTGGGTGCTATGTATGGCTAGGGTGCCTGTCCCCACTAACCCTACCCACCCATCTGTTCCTCCTTCTCAATAGTGCTGGCCTGTGGGCGGCCCCAAGCAACAGCAGTGTACAAGGTGTCAGAGTATGCACGGCGCTTTGGTGTTCCTGTCATTGCTGATGGAGGAATCCAAAATGTGGGCCATATTGCCAAAGCCTTGGCCCTTGGGGCCTCCACAGGTAAGGGCCTGGAGGCTGGTGGCACCCCTTCCCCAGTGCTGTGAAGGCTCTGCCCCAAACACTCCATCTATCCACAGTCATGATGGGCTCCCTCCTGGCTGCTACAACTGAAGCCCCTGGTGAGTACTTCTTCTCCGACGGCATCCGGCTAAAGAAATATCGTGGTATGGGTTCTCTGGATGCCATGGACAAGCATCTCAGCAGCCAGAACCGATATTTCAGGTGGGACAGGCAGGCCAATTACCCCACCCCAGCCCTGGACTGACAGTCTTATCTCTGGTGTGACCTTGTCTGTGTCTCTGCATCTCCCTGCAGTGAAGCTGATAAAATCAAAGTGGCCCAGGGGGTGTCTGGAGCTGTGCAGGACAAAGGGTCCATCCATAAATTTGTCCCCTACTTGATTGCCGGCATTCAGCACTCCTGCCAGGACATTGGTGCCAAGAGCTTGACCCAAGTCCGGTGAGCTTGGGGAGCTGGGACATGGTTAAAGGGGCTGATCAGGGCCAGCTACCCACCTTTGACATCTGACCCTCTTCAGAGCCATGATGTACTCTGGGGAGCTTAAGTTTGAGAAGAGGACATCCTCAGCTCAGGTGGAAGGTGGTGTCCACAGCCTCCATTCGTAAGTGCCATTTCTGGGTGGGCGCTTCTGCCATGCTTATGCCTTTATTCTCCTATCCTCACCTCACCAGTGGTCCTTTTGATTACAGGTATGAGAAGCGGCTTTTCTAAAAAGGTATCCAGCACATCCCCTCAGTTTTTCAATAAAAGTTTAAAAAAAGAAAGTGATGGCTGATTTTTGAGGTCAGTAGGCAGGCGGGACTCTGCAGCTGCCACCACCAGAAATGCACACAAATTTAGTATCCTCATTTCCAGGGGGAGGCTCAGGTCCTGGGATAAATAAAGGTGCTCCATGAACCTGGTAAGGGATAGTTCCAGTTTCAAAAAGTTCCTTCTGAGGCTGCTACAAACCAGCTCTGATCAGCTCTGGCTCCTGTGGGTTCAGTCTCATGGAGGCTCTGACTCTGTGGCTCCCTAGAAAGGATCCCAGAACAATCCATGGGACTGGCATCCACAGGGCATCCTGCCAGCCCAAAGCTTAGCCTCCTGGGAGCAGGTCAAAACATGAATATGTACTCCACTCCCTAACTCAAATCTTTTATCAATGATCTTATGGGGAAAGCCATTGAGGTCCCCTCAAATCTGCATATGAACAGGTGAACAGATCTGGACCGGGTAAATAGACTTTCTGAATGAAAAAGTGACCCCTTAGGCCAGGCGCAGTGGCTCACACCTGTAATCCTAGCACTCTGGGAGGCCGAGGTGAGCGGATTGCTCCTGGTCAGGAGTTCAAAACCAGCCTGAGCAAGAGCCAGACCCTGTCTCTACTATAAATAGAAGGAAATTAATTGGTCAACTAATATATGTAGAAAAAATTAGCCAGACATGGTGGTACATGCCTGTAGCCCCAGCTACTTGGGAGGCTGAGGCAGCAGGATCACATGAGCCCAGGAGTTTGAGGTTGCTGTGAGCTAGGCTGACGCCACAGCACTCACTCTAGCCTGGGCAACAAAGCGAGACTCTGTCTCAAAAAAACAAAAGTGACCCCTTAGTTTCTTTATACTCCCACCAAGAGCCCACTGAGCCAGCAGCTCCTGGCCAGCAACACACCTGATACAAACAATAGAAGTACATAAGTTATTAATATGCTGGCAAACAAGTGTTACAGTGCCAAAGGAAGACAATAGTGAAAGCATTGGGAAGCCCTGCACTCTGCAAAGTGCCAGGGCCCTCCTAGACAGGTCAGTTCCTGGAGGTTCATTCTGCAACTTGACCCAGAGAGAGAAGTGAAGTCCCTCCAGGTGGGGGTATAAGAGCAGCTCCTGTCACTCGGCCTTCATGACACAGGAAGTTGAAGGTGGCACAGGCGTTGGGCTGCAAAGAATAGGCCAGCATCAGCCTACCTAGGGTGGGCTAGGTCTGAGCTGCCCACAGCATTCCCAAATCCTGGGACTTACCGTGTCCTGCACTTCCACAGCAATGCCTCGCTCCCTCATGGCTCGCAGCACCTGGAACTGCAGCCTCTCAGTCCGGTCTCCAGTGCCCACCACCACAATCTCTAGGGAAAGGAGGGTGTGGCTACTCTACAACCAGGTCTGTTGAGAGGATGGGGTGAGGGTGGCCTTCTGGGGCCCAGAGCACCTCAGGCCTTCCTTTCCCGCCTCCATACCTATCCGGGGTTCTAGCATCCAGAACAGGGAAAAGCTCTCTTCGGTGATGTCCTGGTGGCATCCCACCTACAGGGAGGAGACAGATTCAATATGACAAACAAATCCATGCAGCTTCTCCCCCCGCCCCGGCTTCATTTTGGGGATACACGGAAAGGCCAGTTGGACAGGGACACAAACAGGGAGAGAGCCTGTGACTCAGAGCCTCAGATTCCTCATTGAGGGTTAGAGCTCACGTTCCACTGCAACACCGAGTGCGGGAGAAGCGCGCAGGGCCCGAACACTCGGTTTCCGTTGACAGTGAAGCCGCGGCTGTTGTAGCAGTCGATGTACATGGCGTGAGGGGACTCGTGTTGCAGCAGAGAGATGTGCGTCCGCTGATACAACTCGTCGTCCGCCGGCGAGAGCCGATACCCGCGCCGTGGGGCCCTGCGGATCGGTAGGGTCAGGGGCGCGTGCCCAGGCTGTGGTCTAGCGGGTCGGCAGGTGCAGGGCTGGGGTCACCGGCCCTGGGAGGGGCGGTTAGGGGCGCAGAGTCCGGGCTCACCACGGCAGCTGAACGGGCGGATAGCGCGGCGCCGGTCGCGCGCGGGACAGGCAGCGAAGCGCCAAAGCCGCGGCCATGGCTGATACGCGTGTAGCAAGACCGGCACAGGGTTGGTGGGGTCTAGCCCGGCCGGACACAGCGCGGCAACAGCGCCCTCTGCGTTCTGGAGGGCATCTCACAGTTCGGCCGGCCCAGCGAGCTAGCGCCATCTGTCTCAGGAGGGGCAGTCCCCCCGCCGGCTCCAGTGTCAGCACCTGCCGCCCGCCCCGCCCTATGTCCCCGCCGACCGTCCCGAGAGAGTGGGACACCTGGTAGCGTCACCGCCTTCAGGCATTGCCTGAGCCGCAGGCGTGGCCTGCCCCCCGCGCCCCCGGCTCTCGGCCATTAAGCAGGGTGCCTCGGGCCCGGGGTGGGGAGGCCGCCCACCTGGCGGTGTCCTGCACACCTGGACAGGGCGTGGTGCCAGCCTCCCCGCCGCTAATCCCAAGCTTTGTGGCTTCGGGCCCCGTGGGCGGGGCGGGCGCCTCGGGTTTCTCCGCTGCTGCCGTATCACGCCCCTCCTCAACCGTCAACCGCTCGACCGTTGGCTGCGCCGCCGCGCGCTGCGGGGGGCGTGGCCGAGCGGGGATTGGCTTCTCTGGAGCGCGAGGGGGCGTGGCCATGTGGTTTTGCCTTAAAATGGCTCCAAATCTGCGGGAAGCCAGAGCAAGCGGAAGGGCACGCGGTTGTGGGGCTGATATGGCTGTTCGGGTGGGATCTACAGGGCCGAACCGGACCAGACTTGAATTCAGCGGCGCCTGAAGCATCACCTTGTCCTCGTTCAGTCTGCTGGCGTCCCGAGAGTCCCCCATCCCCCATCTTGAGCCAAGTCAAGGGCCTACTGGCGCAAGAGTCGCTGGCGCCGGCGCTGGGTTTGGGTATCTGGGCACGCCGGCTCTGTTGTGGCCTCAGGGGAACATTGTCGCGTTCGCTACCCGCGGGGCCGGGCGAGTGGGAGGCTTGGCACAATCGGGGCCTGGCGGCGGATCTGCTAGGGCTGGTCGCAATGGGCTTCTGTGGGTCTCGCCACTGCTGTGTGGACCAGTTCGTCCCCTGGCGCTCCGGGCTCTGGCAGCGTCACCGGACAAAGGGCCCCGGTCGCGGGGGTGTCCCCGAGGCGGACGCATGGGTTTACTTCCTTTCTGGTCCCTCGGGCGCGCTTCCCTCTTGGCGGATTCCGAAGCCCGCCCCTCCACCGTTACCGCACCAGTGGTCCCAGCTGCGTAGGACCGGCAGCGCTAATCCTACCCTGCGGATCTAATCCGGATCAGGACCCGGTCCCAGGGGAGGCCCCTACCTCCCCTCTTATTGTTCTGGGGCCCAGGTGAGCGCCTCGTTCCCACTAGACTCGGTTTCACCGCCTACTCCCGGATCCGCCTCCTGGGACTGGGAATGGGCGGGTTCTGATCTGGCCTCAGGGCAAGTAACCTGGGGGCAGGAGCCCCCTCCAACGGCTGGACAGCGGGCAACGGAATCCCAAAAGCAGCTGTTGTCTCCAGAGCATTCCAGCTGCGCTTGGATTTCGTTCCCTGCTCTCCTGCCTGAGCAGCGCCCTGGCCCAGATGGGGTGGCCCCAGACCCCCAGACATACTTTAACTGGGCCCATCTCGTCTCAGTTCCTCCTTCAGGTGTGCCCTCAGGCTGGAGGTGGTGGGTGTAGATGTCGCAGAGCCGGGGCTGGTGGCCATCTCTGGCACCACCTGGGAGCATTGGCGAGGGAGGGTGGACTCGGGGCCTCTGGGTAGAGCTGCTAGGATGGTGAGTCCCACAGGGCCAGCCCAGCCCACAGCTCGCTAAACATAGCCTTACACTTCCTGGGGAAAAACCACCCCAACGGTCTTTGTGGACGAGAGTAGCTGAAGTCCCCAGCTTGGCTGCGGAGCCCTGCTAGCAGCTGTTTCCGGGTCATGAGCCTACAGCATGGAAAGCGCTTTGGAATGACACGATCACTCCCGTTGAGTGGGGCACCCAAGAAGCCATCGGGAATGTCGTGTCCGCCCAGTGCTCTTTCGGAGCCTCCCAGTAGGCCTCAAAGCCCTGGTCCAGAATGGGACCTTGCCAAGCTTTTCCTGTTCTTATGTTTCTCTCCTTTCCAGAACTCTGTACACAGAGATAATAGGGCTTCCCAGTTCTCTGTACTTAGTGGGTTTCAATCTCTATTAAAATGAAAATGGGGGGGGGGGGGGGGTGTGGAAGTAAAAACATTTGGGGACCCCTGGTGAGAGGAAAAGTGCTTTCCCACTAGAGCAGGATGTTCCAACTGAGGTCTATTTAGCCGCTTCTCTTGGTCAAATTGTTTAGTTGGCCCTTAATAGCCTAAAATGGGAAGCTTGAGGATGCTGTTGAAGTACACCAGGTTAAAGGAGACAAAAGCTGGTAATTCTGGTACACCATCACCGTGGCTCTAATTCCTCAGGTATCAAAAGAAGAAAACCTATAGTTGTATCAGTGCGAATTTATTGGGAATAAAGACCACCCATGGCTTGTCGTGGTGGCTCAGGCCTGTAATCCTAGCACTCTGAGAGGCCAAGGAGGGAGGATCGCTTAAACTCAGGAGTTGGAGACTAGCCTGAGCAAGAGCGAGACCCCATCTCTACTAAAAATAGAAAGAAATTATCAAGACAACTAAATATATAAAATTAGCCAGGCATGGTGGCGCATACCTGTATTCCCAGCTACCCAGTAGGCTGAGGCAGTAGGATCACTTGAGCCCAGGAGTTTGAGGTTGCTGTGAGCTAGGCTGACGCCACGGCACTCACTCTAGCCTGGACAACAAAGTGAAACTCTGTCTCAAAAAGAAAAAAACTCACCCATATCTCAAAGGAGGAAATGCTTGTAAATAATCTGAAACCGTGGAACACAAATTCTTTGAAAAACGAGACATTTAAAGTGGGTCGTGAAAGTGGCCTTAATGTTACTGCCTTATTCTAGTGACAATCATTTAGAAATTTGACCTTTTAATCATATGTAAAATGGGAAAAATTAAACGTTATTACACAAACACATGAGACTTCCGTGATAAGAGAAGGTGCCCTGTCTGAGCCGCCACCCAGTCACAAGGATCTTTTTCTTAGTTGATTTTTTGTTTTGTCTTTTGTTTTTGAGACAGAGTCTCACTCCGTTGCCTGGGCTAGAGTGAGTGCCTTGGCGTCAGCCTAGCTCACAGCAACCTCAAACTCCTGGGCTCAAGCGATCCTACTTCCTCAACCTCCCAAGTAGCTGGGACTACAGGCATGCGCCACCGTGCCCGGCTAATTTATTCTATATATATTAGTTGGCCAATTAATCTCTTTCTATTTATAGTAAAGACGGAGTGTCGCTCTTGCTCAGGCTGGTTTCGAACTTCTGACCTTGAGCAATCCGCCCGTTTCGGCCTCCCAGAGTGCTAGGATTACAGGGGTGAGCCACCGCGCCTGGCCTTTTTCTTAGTTGTTAATGCGGGCTACGCCGAAAGAGCCCTAGGCCCTGGGTGGACCGGAGATTTCGGGCCTGGGCCCCGGCAACGCAGGTGGGTCGCGTAGAGGCAGCACTGGGACCCGCAGATGGAAAGCAGTAGACGTGACTCCCTCTGCGGCACCTGTCCGCTTTCCGGTGGCCGCTGCTGGATCCCCGCCCTCGCCAGTCGGCCTTTCTGGAAGTTCCGCCTTCCGGAAATTTGCTTCCGGTTCCGCTCACCTCACTCCTTCCGGTCGCCATGGCGACAGGGCGCCTTGGGGTCGGGGAGACTCTGGGGGCTCTCAACGCTGCCCTGGGGCCTGGCGGCCCTGTGTGGCTCAAGGAGACGCGCGCCCGCCACCTCCGTGCCCGAGACTTCCTGGCGCCGCAAGGCGCACTGCGGACGCGCTTCGAGGACGGGCAGGTGGGAGCGGGCCGGGACGTGCGGCCCAGGGTGGTAGCGACCGCTGCGGCCAGCTCACACCGCCCGTCCACCCACAGGTGCCTGAGCATGTGTTCCGTGCCGTCGCCTGCCTGCAGGGCCCCGGTGTGGCCCCAGTGCTGCGCTGCGTGCCGACCCCCGCGGGTCTGTCGCTGCAGCTGCACCGACCAGCCGTATTCGAGCGCGTCCTCCGCGCGGTGGCTGCCTATGCCGCGCCCGCTACGCCTGCCTCCCTGTGCCCGCGCGTCTTACTGCACTGCCCGGCGCTGCGCGGCTCCCCTTGTGCACTCCGCCTGAGCCAGCTGCGTGCCGTGCTCGTGGCTGATCACCTAGCACGAGCTCTTCGTGCCCATGGGTGAGCGGGGCCAAAATGGAGAAGGTGGGGGACGTCTTATTGGAGGCCTAGAGAACGGCGCCGCCCTTGGGGACAGCCGCTGGGGGTGGGAAGTATTGACAAGCCCGATTAGGTGCGCAGGCTGAGGCGGTCGCTCTCCCTTCGCAGCGTGTGCGTGCGCCTAGTGCCTGCTGTGCGGGATCTGCACATGCTGACCTTCCTGCAGCAACTGCGGGTGGACTGGCCCTGTGCCTCGGAGAAAGCCTCAACCGAAACCCTCAGGAGCCGCGCACTTGCAGAAATTACCTGTGTTCATGATGGGAGGACACTGCCCCCCGGCGTCCTGGGCAGATTGTGCCTGAAGGAGCTGGTGGAAGAACAGGGCCTAGCAGCTGGCTATGACCCCAACCTGGACAACTGTCTGGGTAGGACCTGGAGCCTAACAGGGCCAGAAAAGGGGTATGGGGATTTCTGCATTACTGGCCAGCCAGCCTCAGCACCTATATGTTCTCTTTGCAGTGACAGAGGATCTGCTCTCTGTGCTGGCCGAGCTACAGGAGGCTCTGCGGTATTGGCCGGAGGACAGCTACCCAGGCCTGGTTAGTAACTCCCAGCCCTGTAGGCTTCTAGCAAACCAAGTATCCTGCATCTCTGTAGTGACTACCTTCCTTCCTTATAAGGCTGGGGCCAACAGCTGCACAGTTATACACGTGGTGAGCTGTGAGGAGGAGTTCCAGCAACAAAAGTTGGACCTGCTTTGGTGGAAGTTGGATGACCAGGCTCCACTCAGACAGGTAGGTTAGTGATGTTGGAGCTCCCCACTACCTCACCTCCCTTGAAAACCTACCAAGGGGCCTGTTACCTGACAGATCCGGAAATTGACACTTGACCTTGGGGGAGATGGTGAACTTGTTGAGAGGGCATGTGCAGCAGGTGCAAGGCTCTGGAGAAGATGGAGTCCGAAAACATCCCAAGAACACTGAAGAATAAGTTGAGGCTGGACCATGTCCTTAGGGGCTGGGCTTGAGAAGGAGACACTAAGCCTGGTGGTTACAAGTTCTGGGAGTCTGGGTGGACTGGAGGCACCAGATTTGGGTTCCTCTGAAGGACTTATTGCTGGCGAGTAGCACCAGCTGGGCTGAATCTCTGCCATCTTCCTGACAGAAGCACCTGATCTGTGGCCCAGTGAAAGTAGCTGGTGCACCCGGCACTCTGATGACTGCCCCTGAGTACTACAAGTGAGTTGAGGCTGAAAGGAAGGCCAACCTGAGCCAGGGTAGTCGAGGTGGGGGAAGTCTTTACTGGGACCCTGCCCACTGGCCCTCCTCTCACTCTTCAAAACAGATTCCGGCATGCCCAGGTGTGCAAGGCCTCAGCTCTCAAACACAGTGAAGATCTGGCACAAGGTGCGCCTGGAAGGCCCTGGCAGTGCTCTGCAGTAGGGCAGGTGGTTTGCACCCCTGCCCCTTGTTCCTTCTCTGCAGAGACTCACTGACCAACCTGTACTCCCTCAGACCCAGCCTGGATGGAGATCTTTGGAATTCTCTCTGTGGCCACCATCAAGTTTGAGATGCTGAGCACAAGCCCACAGAGTCAGGTGAGCCTGGGAGTCAGTGTCACAGGGCCAGGGCTGGGGGGACAGGGTTTAGTGGCTGCCCCCCTTCTCTGCAGCTGTGCTCCCATTTTCCAGCTCCTCCTGGCCCTATCTGACAGCAGCATCTCCACAAAGGGCACAAAGAGTGGCACCTTTGTCATGTATAATTGTGCCCGTCTTGCTACACTCTTTGAGAGCTACAAGCGTAGTAAGGAACAAGGTCTGTACCCCACTTTTCCACCTGTGAGCAGTCTGGACTTCTCACTGCTACATGATGAGGTAAGTGTCCCTTCCAATAGGTAGCACAAGCAGGAGGCTTGGACTTTCCTTGCAGCACCCTTCTCCCCCACAGGGTGAGTGGCTGCTGCTCTTCAACAGTGTTCTCCCCTTCCCAGACCTGCTGAGCCAGATAGCAGTCCTGGACTGCACAACCCCAGGGCTACACATTGCTGCACGCACAGAGATGGTGAGGCACAGAAAACAAGGCTAGACACTCAATACACTATTTATTCTGGGCTAGGGTGCTCACTTCAGCAGCACAAACACTAACACTGGAACGATACAGAGAAGATTAGCATGGCCCCAGATACATTAGAAAAAAAATTCTGGGCTGGGGCATAAGAGCAAAGAGACAGGCCAGTGACTCAGTCTCTGTCTCTAGATGTGCAAGTTCCTGGTACAGCTCAGCATGGATTTCAGCTCATACTATAACCGGGTACACGTCCTAGGGGTAAGCACACAGCACAGGGGGTGGGAAGTGCAAAGGGGTGCAGGGTAAAAGCAAGAAAGCAGAGGATGAGACTAGCAGGCCCCTTCTCCTTCAGGAACCTCGACCACACCTCTTTGGTCAGATGTTCGCCCGCCTGCAGCTTCTGAGGGCCGTGCGTGAGGTGCTCCACGCTGGCCTGGCTATGCTGGGTCTCCCTCCACTGAGTCACATCTAAGGCCACAAGGCCCGGATATATAGGAATGTTCACAAAGTCATCAACTGGAAAAAACGCAAAACCCCACACGTTTAGGAGCCTAGAGCCAAAATAAATTGTTTTGTTGTCCAAAGTTTTGTCCTATTGTGGGAAGTGGGGCATAGTCTCAGCAACACTCTACTCACCTCCAGCTCCTGCTCTGAAGTTGGGACCCCACGACTGCTGCCTCCCCTCAGGGCACAGTCAACCCCCGCTGCACTGTCTGTGAGCAGGCCCCATACCCAGCATGCCGGCCACCACGGGATACCTCAATCATACCAATTATAAACTTCAAGCCCCTGACCCCCAAGAGCACAGCGGTGGCCAAACTCAGGGCTCACAGGCCAGCAGTCCATGTCTGCTGCATCTGGCACATGATACACAGTGCTGTTCATAAAGGTGGGCTCTCCATGCCCTAGACGCCAAAAGGTCAGCCGTTGGTCAATGGAGGCTGAGACCATGAGGCTTGGGCTTAGGATCTTGAGGCCTGTCACATGGGCAGCATGTGCACAGGGGACAGAGTATTCCTCTAGCACACGCAACTGGGGTACCAACTCAGCCTCCCCCACAGCCTCTTCCAGCTCTGGCATCTCCACTGCAAGCACGAAGACGTGGAGGGAGCCATCTTCACTGCCGCTGGCCACAAGATGGTGGCCCTCACGAGTGGGCAAGGTGTGCAGGCTGTTGACACCACAGCTGTGGGCCTGGAGAGTCAGGGAGGGGGTGCCCAGCCCTGGAAGAAGAGGATGGTTATCACAGCTCTGCTCACCACACAAGAGAAGGCAAAGGGAGAGGTGGGGTGCAGCAGCCAGGCTGCACACTAGCTACTCACTATAGGGAAGTCCAGGGTCTACTGGAGGCTCGAGGGCAGTGGAGCCACGGTCTAGCACAGTGGTGATATCCCAGAAGGCCAGGTTGCCGTCAGTAGCTGCACTGCACAGGAGCAGCCTCCTGGGAGCCAGGAAAGGACAGTCAGGTCAGTGAGGGATGGAGAGCAACAGGAACCCAACCCATGAAGGATCATTGTCCAGCCCCTCTCACCGCCGCTGGTTGGGTGCCTCATGTGTAAAGGAGTGGACCTTGAGAACACACCGCTTATGGTGGAAGGTTTCAGCGAAGAGCTGCAGAAGCTGCCCAGAGTCCTGCAAGAGAAAGAGCCTGGGGGGGGGGAGGGGGGAAGGAGGAGGAAGAGCCCAGCTTAGAACCCATCCTCGACAACTTCATATCCTTTATCTCCCCACCCCATGGGCCCTTTGCTCTCACCTCACTGCCCCATCACTACAAGCTGCAGCCACAAGGGGTCCAAGGCCAGGCCGGTCAAATTCACACACTGCAAGGGACATGTATCTGCAAAGACAATGCACAGCTGTCAGGTGAAGCCTGCAAGCTTGGCTGTGTAATCGCATCTTATGCTGCCTGCCAGTACACATTACCTGGTTTCTGGGTCCACCTTGATCATCCGATGCCGATTGCGCTGCCGGTGCCAGTACTCATCTAGCCGGTGGGACGCAAGGTGCATGACATGGCAGGCAAGGCGGCTTGGGGTGCTCGGATCCGGAGTGACCATGATGCTGAAGCAGTGCATCTCAGCCCGCCCCCCAGCGGACACCACACGGGCAGTGAGGCCTGGCCGAGGATCCTGAGGGCCACCGGGGCTGCCGATGCCCCACACAGCCACAGCACGCACCGAGGAGATATGGTTACAAACAGCTGTGAGTGCATGGGCTGAGCCTGTAGTCGTGGGGAGTGCCAGGACACAGACAGTAGTGTCCTCACTGCAGGTGATCACAATGTCAATCAGGCCGGGTCCCTCACTGCCAGGCTCCAGGTAGTCAGGCTCCATGAAGCTAGGTACCCCAAATTCAGGCCCCAGGGTGATGGTGCCCACACGCCTTACACAAGTGATCTCACGGCCATGCAGACCCTCCCGGAGAATCACATGTGGCCGAGTGCAGCCGCCTAGAGCCCGGTACAGCATGACATCCCCATCCTTGAGGTACGCGAAGGCCATAGCCGCCTCAGTATCTGAGAAGGCCCAGGAGCGGTGCCCACCACCACAGTTGATGATGTGCAGCTTCTCATGTGATCGGGGGCTCCACACCACAAACTCATTGGCGTGGAAACCCAGGATGACCATGCCCCCATCAGGCACCATACGGAGCCCAGCCACCCAGTTCATGCCTCGACAGGACTTCTGCCTTAGGACAGGCTGGAGCTGGCCACCTCGCACAAAGAGCTGGTAGTAGGTGCCATCACGCCCAGTGGTATACACGTAGCCACCATGACACGTGACTGAGGTCACACCCTGCTTTCCATGCAGGGAAGGAAGGGTAGACACAGGGCCCCACCCCGCCAAAGCATTCCCACCATTGCCACTACCTGCTCCAAGTGCCCCAGTACCAGCCCCAGCCTTGCCTTCCACTCCAGGATCCTTGAGCAGACCTGGTCTGGAGGGGAACAGCAGCACAGAGCCCCGGCGGTCCCCACATACCAGGAAGTCACCTGGGGGTAGGAAGGCGCTGCATGTGTGCCACCTCTGCTTACTTGGGGGCAGCAGGTACCGGCAACGTTCCTTGACAAAGATAGCTTTGCCAGAGGGCGCAGCTGAGATCTCCAGGCAAGCCACTACCCCACCAGGGCCCGATGCCAGCAACAGGAGCTCCTCGTAGCCACGCAGGGCCCAGCTCAGGCTATGCACTTTTCCAGGGAACAGGGTCTGATCTACAGCAGCACTTGGAGTATTGATAGGGACAACCTTGACACAACCCTCTCCATTGGCCATGGCACATAGCCCGAAGCCCTCAGGACCAGGAGCTGCCTCCAATAGGCAGTAGGACTGGAAGTGCTTATCCTCTAGTAGCTGCTCCCAGCACTTGACCTCCAGGTCATAGAGGTACAGAGCCCCTGTGTCAGTCACTGCCAGCAGTCGCCAAGAGCCAGCCAGTGTCACGGCCTTGAGGGTACCTGGCCTACTACGGGACTTGAAGCAGAGAGCTGAGACCCCCGAACCCGGGTAGCCACGTCCTACCAGGTGCCACAGCCGAATACCAGAGTCATCACCCCCCGTGATCACCCAGGCCTGCCTCTCATGGGCAGCAATGGCCCGGATCCCACGGCCCTGATGTCCCCGAAAGGCCTGGAGGATCTCACCTTCGTGGCTCCACACCAAGCAGACACAGTCCTCTCCTGCACTGATAAGGTAATTCTCTAGGAGCTTGACCTGCCATACACGGGAACTATGCCCAAAGCAGTGCCCAATATTCTGCACCCGACCCCCAGGAACCCGTAGGTCGCCCACCTTCCAGATACGGACACTTCGGTCTTCTGAAGCTGTAGCCAGCAAGCCCTTGCTTTCCAGGTAGGACATGCTGAAGATGACACCCACATGCCCACTGACCCGCCGGTCAGGTGCCACGGGTTTGCTGTCTGCTAAGGCAGCTGCTGGGTACCAGACCAGGAGCTGGTTGGAAACAGCACCTGCCACTATGGTCAGCTCCTTCCAGGTGTCTCCAATCAGACAGGCTGAGGAGAGGGTGCACCTGTCCGTGCAGGGCACATCCTGCAGGAGGCACCCTACCACGGGGTCATATAACACCACTGAGTTATGGCCCAGGGCCAGGGCCACATTCCCTTCAAGCCAGCGTGCATCCCAGATCCAGTCAGACATGTTCCACAGGCCTGAGCGCCAAAGCTCCCGGAAGTGGCCCTGTCCCCAACTAACTTTCACAATTCGGAGTCCCTTGCTCCCAAACACAGCCACCATGGCCTCTGTGTCAAGGTCTCCATTAGGCTCCGGCCGCACCCGGAACCCATGGATAAGATAGTGGCCAAGCAGGTTCTGCACTCGCTTCATCATGCGCAGATGTCCACCAAAGTCCAAGCTGTATACCAGGACATCGGGCCCCTCACCTAGGCAGAAGCAAAGAATCATGTCAGAACCATGAACCTAATTCTGATGACCCCAGGGGAAGAGATGGGGGGAAGGAGCATGTAGCATATAGATGCATAAGGACACACAATCCTGTGGCTTGAACCTTGGAAAATCCTTGGTCTCAGTTTCAGCTGGACTTTCAGTACTGACTTTCTGCCCCCAGTAGTCATTCTTTTTTTTTAGAGACAGAGTCTCACTCTGTCGCCTGGGCTAGAGGGCCGTGGCATCAACCTAGCTCACAGCAACCTCAAACTCCTGGGTTCAAGCAATCCTTCTGCCTCAGCCTCCCAAGTAGCTGGGACTACAGGCATGTGCCACCATGCCCGGCTAATTTTTTCTATATATTTTTAGTTAGCCAATTAATTTCTCTCTATTTTTAGTAGAGACAGGGTCTCGCTTTTGCTCAGGCTGGTTTTGAACTCCTGAACTTGAGCGATCCTCCCACCTCGGCCTCCCAGACCAGCAGTCACTCTTGACGTTCAGTTCAACCACGAATTTCTCAAACTCACGTCCTTCTCCTCACTCCACCTCACTCTTTAGACAGGTTAGTCCCTAAATTCTCAGCCTCAGATATCTCTACACGCATCCTTCCTGATCCCCCTCTATCAGGGTAAAGGCTGTCCTTACTGAAGCAACCTTTTCACTCTTGAAGCCACTGCATCCCCTCCTGATTTCGAAGAGCTTCTTCTATCTAAGGAGATATGAGCACACTTGGTATCGATGAGAACTTGGAGAGGCAGCCCCCACTTCAGCACAAGAGGTTGGGCTTGGATCCTGGCCCCGCTACTGGTCAGCTATGTGAGCCCTATTCTGTGTATGAAGCCCCAGCATAGCAGCAACACAAAGAACCTCAGAAGGAACAAATGAGATATAGTCACAAAGTCTGACACACAGCAGAAACAAAAAGAAACCTCTTTTCTTGCCTCTGTAATATACATTCTCCTTATTTAATTCCTTTCCTTTCCTAAAACTCCCCTAATTGGTGCTTTCAGAGAATTTCAGCACCTCTATCTAAACAAGTCACATGCTCTCTGGGCAGCCTCATATACCCCAACTATGTGTGTGCACACACTCAGGTCTCTCCAGAACTGGACCCTCAGCTGCCGCCTGGTTGTCCTGCAGGCATCTTCCACTCTAACTCATCCCTCAAATTCTCTCAATGTTCCTCGTCTCAACGATCATTACTACCTTCTGCCCATCCCCCAGCCAAAAACCAGGAAACCCACAGACTCCTCCTCTCTTAATTTCCCACATCTTATCTCTTCCCAAGTTCTGTGGATTTCATTTTCCAAAGAGTCTGCAAATCCTCCCCACCACAGTGACCTTGGTCCAGGTCATCACCTCTTACCTAAGATGACAACCACAGCCACTCACACCACCCCCAGACTCAGTCTCAATCTTCTGGCATTCAATAAACATTTATTCACCATCATATGCCGAAATAAAATAAATAAATAAACAAATAAAATAAACATTTATTGAGTATCAATTACAAACCAGACAATGAGGTGGTTGAAACAGGAAATGAAGGAGTTAAGAATGGGCTAGAAAGGATGCTACTGAGGGGATCAGGGAGACACTATAGCATGGCCTGGAATGATGGCACTAAAAGCAGATAAACAGTTACCACATATATGAAATCAAAGTCATCCTAGCACCCTGGGAGGCTGAGGTGAGATGACTGCTTGAGCTCAGGAGTTCCATACCAGCCTGAGCAAGAGGATACCCCCTTCTCTACTAAAAATAGAAAAAACTAGCCAGGCATGTTGGCGCAGGCCTGTAATCCCAGCTACTCCAGAGGCTGAGGCAGGAGGATCGCTTGACCCCAGGAGTTTGAGGTTGCTATGAGCTGAGTGTTGACACCACAACACTACTCAGGACAGAGCGAGACTGTGTCATTCATTCATAAATTAATAAAATAAAATAAAAACAAAGTCAATCAGACTGGCTTGGAGAGTGAGGAAGATTCTTGGGCTTGAGGTTTGGGCACCTGAGTGGCTGCTGTTACCTCTGCAGAAGGCCACGCCCCCCACCTCCACAACGCACACACACGCCTGCCTCAGGACCCTGATAAAACTCAGCAGCACCATCATCAGTCACTAGGACTCACACCTGACTTCATGTCAGGTCTTACTGCTCCCTAGGACTTTTGACACCACAGGTCCTAGGCCTTTGCAGCCAGCCACTGGGGCCTGTGTTTCCTTTCTCAGAGGAACCTCCACACCCGATTCCCTGGACTCCAACCATCTCAGGAGGGGCCTCAGCCACCGCTTCCCCTGGCACTGGCCTACTCAGAATGGGTTCATTTGCAATTTTCCGCCACCCCACCCACCTCAAGGGATCTTCAAGCCCACTTAGGAGGAGCCTCACCCTGCCACCATTCCTGCCTCTCCCGGCCCCGCCTTCCCCAAAGAAGCCCCACCCCCGTGAGGGGACCACGTTCCCTATTTTCCCCACTCTGCCACCCCTCCTCGGGAGAGGCCAAATCGCCGCCCATCTCATCCAAGGGGCCACACACTCCTCTCGCTCCCCTGCGCCCCCGCACACCGAACGACCGCGTTCCCCTGCGCCTTTCCACGGCTCCGCCCACCCTTTCCACACTGGCTGCAGTTTATAGAGGGCCGCGGCAGTCAGATCAGCTTTTTATCTCGGGCTCTGCCCTCCTCGGGTTGGCCTCGTCCCCGCCACCTCCTTGGCTCCCTTCCCACTTTCGATCGGGCCTCATCCTGCCGCCCATCCTCCTACTCCGGGCATCCCTTTGTTCCTGTGGCCCCGCCCCAGGTAGGCGCTCCTCTGCCCGCTAGCGCGCCACGAGCCAAGCCTCACCCGCCAACAGCCGGTCCCCCACGCACTCCAGGCCCGTGACCGGGAGGAGCATGAGCTCTGAGGTTGCCCGCGGCCAAACGTAGTCCTCCAGAGCGTCCATGACTGTCCCCGAGGCGCTGCGGCTGCTGCAGCCAAGAAAGGAGTTCAGCTCTCGCGAGACGAGCCTTCCCCGCGCGCCGCGCCGCCGAGCAACTGCGCCTTAGCTACAGGTAGCGGAGACCAGGGCCGCCCGCGGTGGATGTCCAATGACGACCCTTCGCCGCACGCAATCCCCCTCACGATTGGCCGGGTCTGCGGAGACGCCTCCGCCCCTCCCCCTCGTGTGACGCTGGCCGCTGGGGCCTTGGCCGCCTGCCCGCTCCGCCTGTCGCCTGTCGCGGTCTCCCTCCCGCCGACCCGGAGCTCGTGGGCCTGGCGGCTCAAAGCCGGGTGGTTTTATTTGACTGGGCAGCGTGGGGTCTGTACACAATAAATAACGTCAATATCGGAACTGCGCCGTATCGTAGCTGGAGGCGGGGGTGGGGCAAGACATTGGCCAGACCTTTAGTCTGCAGCAGGGCAGGACCGCCGGGTCCCCGACCTCGGGCGGCGGGCGACCCGCGGCCAGGGGCCGGGGCTAACCCTCCCCTCAGAGCTCCACGCGTGTATCGCGGTAGGCTCGGTCCAGAGCCCACTCGGGCTGTGAGTCGGCGCCACCTTCGCGGGCCAGGCGAGCCATCTCCTGCTGGAACAGCGCTTGCCGCGCCCGGCTGGGGTCCACGTTAATCCAGTTGTTGGCGATCCACTTGGTGCCACGTGTGACCAGGCAGCCCCCATGTAGGGAGTAGTCGTCCACGTCGCCCACCCAACCTAGAAGAGGAGAGTGGCTTGAGGAAAGGAGGGCTTAGGAGGAACCCTAAGCTGGAACTTGCCTAAGCTTGGCCTCCTACAGACCAAGGGCATAACAAGGTGGGCCCTGCAGTGCACTTTTTTTTTTTTTTTTTTTTTTGAGACAGAGCCTCGCTTTGTTGCCCAGGCTAGAGTGAGTGCCATGGCGTCGGCCTAGCTCACAGCAACCTCAAACTCCTGGGCTCAAGCAATCCTTCTGCCTCAGCCTCCAGAGTAGCTGGGACTACAGGCATGTGCCACCATGCCCGGCTAATTTTTTCTATATATATTAGTTGGCCAATTAATTTCTTTCTATTTATAGTAGAGACGGGGTCTTGCTCTTGTTCAGGCTGGTCTCAAACTCCTGACCTCGAGCAATCCTCCCGCCTCGGCCTCCCAGAGTGCTAGGATTACAGGCGTGAGCCACCGCACCCGGCCTGTGCACTTCTTGAGTAGCAAACATGCAGACCTAAGGCTTCCTTGGGGGCTCAGCATCTCACCCCACTTGCCCTCTGAAACCAGCTTTCTTGCTGCTGGGCCTGTCCTCAGCCCTTCCCATCCTGTGTTGGGGAGAGCCATGTGTCCTGAGCCCCAGAGAGCAGGAAAGCTGGGATATCAGGAAATGATAGGGGTTGAGATAACCCAAGAGGTGGAACAGGCTCCTGAGTGGCCTGCTGAAGTCACTAAGGATGGTCTGGGAGGAACCAGGGGCAGAAAACCATTTGGAGGGCAGCCAGACACAGCCCTCCAGGGTGGCAGACAGGGGGGCTAGGTAAGGGGAAGCTGCCTTCAGGGAACCCCCTGGCCATAGGCTCTCACCTTGCCCATCAGGCAGGTAGTTGTACCAGAAGACTGCTGTGCCCTGCTGGGGCTTGACACGCAGGTTTCCCTTGTCACAGTGCCTTCGAGTGTCACGGAGGTCAACATCATCCTGAATCAGACTCTGTGGGCAGCAGGGTGGTAGCGTTTTCAGGATGCCCTCACTGTTTGGCCAGTAGCCAAGGCCAGGTGGCAAAGGGCAACCAGCCAGATGTGCCCAGGGGATCACTTGGGCCCTCATCCTAGGCCTGGAAGGGTGTGTACTACACTTGCCCAAGGCCCTGCCAGCCCACAAGAGTAGTAGCCCAGTTGGCCCTTACCATTTCATCGTAGGTTCTGTTGTCTGCTACAGGGAAGACAGTCTCGCCCCCACCGGTGACGTTGTTCAAATAAAACAGCACTGTCATGTAGCTGTAAGGCAGGGGGGCCACTGAGCAGGTCCCCAGCTGCTTACACCCAGGGGCTTACCTGTGGGCAGGATAAGCTACCCAGGTTCCCAGGAGCCAGAGGGACAGGCTGAAATGGCAATAACGGGGCAGGCCAGTGCCAAGATGTCGCTAGCCCCTCGTTCCCCCAAAACCAGTCTCTTAGTATGTCACAGTGACTTGGCCAGGATTAGAGGGGCACTTAACTAAATAACATGGCCCTGACCAAGGGCCTGGCTGGGAAAGGTAAGCTAGCTGAAGCAGCAACATCATGCGGAAGGTCTTGTTGAGGACTGGAAGAGGCTGAGCCAGAACAGCCACAAGAAAAGGAGAGAACTGGAACTTCCTCTGCAAGGGAGGGAGGAACAGCTTCAGCTTCGCTAGGTGGAGTCAAGATCAATACCTGGGGGAGGGGCAGAAAGAGCTGGGGGCCCAGTCTTGCCCCTTACTGAAGAGCTCTGGGGGCAAATTTTGGTGTCTTTGGGTACCTCAGTCTGTGATGCCTTGAGTGGACATGATAGCCAATAGCCATCCTTTTCCTACCATTTGGTGAACAATTTGGGGGGAGAGGAAAGGACATTGTTGACCAGGATGGCCCAGTGCTCCTGGCCCCCTGCCAAGTGCCATGCCCATAAGGCAGGGCTGTACCTGTGTCATGGGGGTGGCTGGTTTGGGAATTGCAGGCAGCCCCCAGGTAGGAGATACTTGCCGGCAGGAGGTCTCGAAGGGTACAGATTCATTGGCTACCAGTTTGGTATGGGAGCAGATGGTCTCTGGGTACACAGGCCCGCTATCCACATGGGCATGGTAGTGGCCTCCCTCGCCGTATCGTACAACCTGCAGCGGCTCACTGAGCTCCACGATCTCAGGCGACAGGCGAGTGAGGCGCAGCACCCTGGAGGGCAGTAGACATTTAGCTGGGCAGGCCCATCCAAGACGGTAGCCTGAACAAGCTGGCTGAGGTGGGCCCTGGCCTGCCACAGCTCTACCCCTGCCCATGTCCCCTGCAAGCCTCCTAAGCCATCTCAGACTGGCCCTGTGAAAGCAGGAAGGGTTTACTCATGATGAATCTTTCTCCCCAGGTGCCAGAGACAGAGACACCTGCTGCATAGGAGAGATGAGATTTCCACTAAACTGGGGGGATGGGAGCATAGAGTCCCACTCACCAGGGAGGAAATTATTTACCTAAAACCCCTGTCGGCTCAGGGGTAGGGATCCTGTGAGCGAAGATAAGGGGTCTTCTCTAATTAGCAGAAAACAAATGCTTGATCTCTTTCCAATCCTAATTGTCTATTGTTTGCTCACAATGAGGGCTAATATGCCTCGTTAATTGCCTGTCTTTCAGTGGATCCCAGTCCTGGTCTAACAAGTGGAAGTTAATCCCAAATTGATTAATCATTTCTGTCCTCTGGCCCCAGCCAAGGATTTCTGTGGAGGTCCTAATCCAGTCTTCTGCTCCTACCCGAGGACAGCCTCAGGTGCTCACCTCTGGCGGATGGCACGCATGACGTGGTGGGCACCTTCACCCTGGTAGAGCCAGGTGTGGTGGCTGTTCCGCACCAGCTCACTGGACTCCGCCTTGTGGCTCCTCATGTACTTGTGGAAGTCCCGAAGGTCCATGTTGGAGAACTCCTGCAGACTCAGCACTCCTGCACAGGGCACCCGCCATCAGTGCCAGCCAAACCCAGGTAGGGAGGCCACAGTGGCAGGTCACACTTTGCTACCTACCCTATAGGCAGCAGCCCTTGGCCTCAGGCACTGAAGAACCATGTACACTAGTTCCCCACCTATACTCTTGGGTCAAATGAACCTGGTTTCTGCCACATCAGGCCTTAAGGGAAGACCCAGAGAAATTCATTTTCCCAGATTAAGCCCTGATTTGGCTCCAAGAAAAAGAAGCCCAACTTCTATTAGAGTGGCCAGAGCAGGGTCTCCAAAGGTGGTCTGAGCCATTTGGCCCAGGCTCTCGGCCAAGGACTAACCCTCACCCTCCAGCCTGGCTGCGTAGAGCGTGGTAGGCACTCTCTGACCTGTGGAGAGTGGGGGAGAGAGTAGCCAGCACTGGCTCTCATCCAGGACCTTTCACACCCTAGGGTACAAGCAGGGCCAGTCCCTGGGGGTTCTCTCATGACCGGTCCCATCTGCTGGGTTACCAGCGTACCTTAGCAAAAAAGCCAGGCAACTCCACCAAATGAGAACACTCTCCCCTGTTGCTGCCACAAAGTAGGGTCTCCACCGTCTTGGGGTTCTGAAAAATTAGCTGGTGTCTTTGCTTCATGTTATTCTGGCTGACCCAAGGGAGATACCTTCCATCCTTTGGCCCAGATTACTCTGAGGGTGGGGGACATTCAAGGGCTGTGAGCCTGCCACCAGCTCCGTGCAGGGGGCAATGGCAGTATTGCCCTCTAGCCACAGGTCCCAGCCAGATTCTTCACTCTGGGTTTACTAGCCACAAGGCCATTCTTCCAAGTCCTATTTGACTGCTATATCTTCTTCAGTTGGTTCAGAATGTGGGCATGAGAGTGAAGACTGCACTCCAGAAGGCTCCTGAGGGTTATTTCCAGAGGGGGAAGCACTTGCACAGCAGCTCCCCTCCCACACCACCCGAGCAGTTAGCAAAGTTAGCAACACCACCGCTTGGATGCATCAGCATGACTCCAGGTGGCAAAAAGAAGGCAAGAGAGATCTCGCTTAGACGAGGGAGGCTGTCTGCTGGGGTAGACCCCATGTCTGGCTGAAGAGGTAGATGGAGCAGGGTGAATAGCCAAGCTCAAGCTGGCCTCACTGTCCCCTTGTTCCTGCTCTACCCACTCTGCCCTCTGCCAAATAGCAGCCTCCTTCCTGTGCCCCAGACTCTAGACTCTGCCAAAAGAGGTCAAAAGGGTCTCTAAGTCTGCCCTCTAGACTGTCAGCTGCCTGCCTACTTCCCAGAGGCGAGGGGCAAGGCTGGATCCTCATCTCCCCATCTCTGGCCTCTCTAGTAGCAGAGCAGAAGGGCTGCCTGGCTGTGGGGAAGGGGCCCAAGTTTTCAAGATGAGCACCTGGGAGCAGGCAGGAGGCTCACAGGGACAGAACTGTGGAGAGGTGTGAGCTCACCGTCACCATCAGGGTCAGCCTTGATGGCAGCATACATCTCCTGAATGTTCTCCGGAGTCATCCATCGTCCATTTCCCAGGCGAGTCTGGGCCAGGACCTAAAGCACAAGAGGGTCCCTCAGTGGGGTGACCAGCATGACGCAGAGCCACCAGAGCACAGATGGCCCAGTTCTCAGGCTAAGGGTAGAGCTAAGAGTTCACATGATAGGGCATGGGTGAGGACACAGGACAGAGTCCAAGGTCCCTGAAGCCACTGGCATTCCCAACCCTGCTAAGACTGTGGCCTTTGAGGGGAGCATCGTTGGCTGGTTGGAGACAGAATGGATGGGCTTGTGTTCCACTCGGATACCCCAGGTGAGGTGGGGAGGCCAAGGCCTGGGTAGGAAGAGAGAACAGGCACCAGGGGGAGGCCTGGCTAGGACATGACCACCAGGCCCCTCGGGAAGACCAGGCTCAGTGGGGTATTCTGTGTGGCAATGGACCCTGCACCCTGCCAGACCTCTCAGAAGCCCAGGTGTGAGGGGCATGTAGAGAGAGGCAAGCTGCTGGCCTCCCAGAGCTACTATACCCATCATGAGTTCTGTTGGGCCCCCAGCCATGACAGCAAGGCATCCAGGCCAAAGATGGTATACTACTTGAAAACTGTGGTGATAAATGCCATCACCCCCAGGTGGATTCTCCCGCCATCTTCTGGGGTTCTGAGGGCAGCAGGGGACTCTTCAGAGAAGGAAGGGGGATCCCAGGGCTGGGCATGCCCAGGCAGGCCTGAGGTGGTATCTGACTCTTGGGACTAAGGCTGAGCTAGACAAGCGACCTGGCCACAAGAAAGTAATTCTGGGCACTCCCACCCTGTGCCAGTTCAAGCCCAGGATCCCAACCTCACGGAGCTGCAGGCGGCCATCATGGTTCTGGTCCAGCAGCTGGAAGAGGTCCAGCTGGCTGACCTGCATCGTGCTCATTGCCTCTTCGTACTCTTCGGTGGGCAGGATCTGGCTGCGCTGTAAGCCCTTCAGCTGTGCCAGCTGGATGATGAGTCGACACTCCTCGTCAGTCAGGAAGCCAGGGATTTCTGCCAGAGGAGGAGGTAAGTGAGGCCAAGGACTGAGCCAGTACCTTCCTCCCCACAGGGCTCCTGAGGTATTTCCCTGTCCCTTGGTGGCCACTTTACATACCCCTTTACATCTGCTCTGGACTCTGAGTTGTTGACGCTGAGTTATCCTGCAAATGCTGACCAGCGTTTGAAATGTGGGGCCTCTCTTGTTGATGATGACAGCACATACTTTCCAGGGAGCCCTGGGAGGAAGCCAGAGCTAACCTGGATGTGGACTCACCCACCTAGGGGTAGGACTGAAGGCCAGAGAGTAGACCTCAAGGGCAGAGGGTTGACCCTCACTTTTTACTGGGAATAAGGTGTTTTTTTGTTTGTTTTTTTGAGATTGAGCCTCACTCTTTTGCCCGGGCCAGAGTGCTGTGGAGTCAGCCTAGCTCACAGCAACCTCCAACTCCTGGGCTCAAGCAATCCTCCTGCCTCAGCCTCCCCAGTAGCTGGGACTATAGACACACACCACCACACATGGCTAATTTTTTTTTTATTTTTGGTTGCCCAGCTAATTTCTTTCTATTTTTTTAGTAGAAACAGGGTCTCGCTCTTGCTCAGGCTGGTCTCGAACTCCTGGGCTCAAGTGATCCTCCCCTCAGCCTCCTAGAGTGCTAGGATTACAGGCATGAGCCACCATGCCCAGCCTGGGTATAAGTTTTTAAAGTGGAGAGATGGTACCTGATTCTTGCTTTCACTTTTGCTTTTCAGCATTATTGAAATAAAAACAAAGCACAGGACAGCCAATGCTTTAGGTTGGTTGAAGGGCCTTGCCCTCCATCCTCCTGCACTAATGGGGCAGATGACCAGGGCTGAGTTGCCCAGTGCTGGAAAGTCAGAGGGCATTACTCAGGTTTTTAGTAGATGCTAGTCTCTGACAAGATGCCCCAGAGTGTCTTTTGCTTCCCCAACTCCTGGCACAAATGTACACTAAGTGCCTACTTCACGCCTCTAAGCCCCTGAGTAGAGATCAGTCAGGCCTGGGCTTGGCTGCAGTGGCTGGATGCCTGCACAAGTGGCACAGCTGGAAGATGGTTTGGTGGTGCTGGATCATGAGCCTCATACCTAGGGAGTCAACATCCCAGTGTCCCCAGGCACTTCCAGAGCAGGAGCCTGTGTCCTGCTTCCTTCCCTTGTTCTTAGAAGAGAGGACTTCCTTGGGGGACAAGAGGCGCACAAAGGAACTGATTCTCCAAGTGATCTGCCACTTCACTTGGTTATACTCCCAGCATGAAGTTCCAGTCATTGCCCAGAGGAAGGAAAATAGCCACTCAGAGCCAGGATTGGAGTGGTTTTTTAAAATTTTATTTATATTATTATTTTTAGATGGAGTCTCACACCATTGTCCTGTGTAGAGTGCCGTGGCATCAGCCTAGCTCACAGCAACCTCAAACTCCTGGGCTCAAGCGATCCTCCTGAACAGCTGGGACTATAGGCGCACACCACCATGCCTGGCTAGTTTTTTCTGTTTTTAGTAGAGATGGCTAATTTTTTCTGTTTTTAGTAGAGACAAGGTCTTGCTCTTGTTCAGGCTGGTTTCAAACTCCTGAGCTCAAGCAATCCTCCAGCCTCGGCCTCCCAGAGTGCTAGGATTACAGGCGTGAGCCACTGTGCCTGGCCCTGGAGTGGCTTTTAATAGAAATCCCAGCATATCATGCGTTGGTAGCACAGACTCTGCTCAAGGCAGTGTGCTAAGCACTTCACACACATCAACTCCTTAATCTTGCCAGGCATCTGGAAAGCCAGGCCCCATTAGCTCGCCCTTCCTATCTATGAGGAACCTCAAACACAGAGAGATGGGCAGCTTGCCCAGGACAGGGCTGCCCAGGCTGCTGTGCTCCAGAATCCATGCTCACGACCAGATTCAGCCACCAGGAGTAGGTGACCCAGATATGATAACACTGAGGACAGGACAAAACTCTGAACCCACCAAGCCCAGAAAGGGTGTGAGCCAGCAACGGGGAGACATCCCTGCTGGACAATGGGTTAGACCAAACTGCTAATCAACAGAGGCGCTTCTTGATTGCATAACACATAAAATTTAAAAAGAAAGAAAAGTAAGCCAGAAGAAAAAAAAAAAGAAAAGAAAAACACAGGCCTAGGTTTCTTCAGTTTATTAGTGGAGATGCCGCCAGCCTCTACAAGCCCCCACCCCGCTGTGCACTAATCAAAAGCAAATAGTCCAGTCAGCCTGCTGGGGCCTAACCAGGTGGACCCAGGCACCTGGGAGCTGTGCAAACACCTGTAGGCCCCCCTTCTCTGTTGGCTCCTGGGGTGTGGGTAATAGACCTATAAAGCCCTTGATCCTAGCTCATTAAGGCCAGGGCAGAGAAAGCAGGTAATGGAGCGAGGAGGGCTGTGGCTGGTGGTGGTGCTGGTGGTGCTGTGTGGTGATGGCTGGGCAGGGGCTCCCTGGGGCACCACGCGGTGCGTGCCCATTCCCCCAGCCATGGCCCTGTGCCACGACATTGGCTACACAGAGATGCGGCTGCCCAACTTGCTGGACCATGACACAGAGACTGAGGCCATCCAGCAGTCAGTCAGCTGGTTGCCCCTGTTTGCTCGGGAGTGCCACCCCGATGCTCCCCTCTTCCTCTGCTCCCTCTTTGTCCCTGTGTGCCTTGACAGGTAGGGTAGGGGCTCCCAGGTGCAGGGTGGGGGGAGCCCTCCCTAGCCAGGTCCTGCTCTGGAGGCTGAGGTCTCACTAATCCTTGCTGAGCTCCTGTCAGTGCTGACTGGGACAGGGGCAGGGAAGAAAATGAAGGATCATTTTGTTGGAGTGTTCCTGGCAGAAGGTAGCAGGTGCCCATAAGTAGGGGACTGCAACAGTGAGCATGTGGGGTCATACCTGTAGTCAGGACCCACAAACCATCGTGGGGTCTTGAATGTCAAGACAGGGCAAATGGGCAAGCGCTTCAGGCTGGGAATGGAGGAGCCACTTTCCAGTGAGATGTGGAAGCTCTGTCTAAGGGGTCTTGGCAAAAGATGGGGCGAAGGCCCAACTGGTGGCCTTTTCTCCCAGAGAGTCCAGAGCTCATGAGGCTGCTTCCCCTTTCCAGCCGAACCTATCCTGCGAACAACAGTAACCTCCCAGAGCCTCTGGCTGACCATGCCGATAGAATGTGAGACTAGGCCGCTGCACTCTTTGCCAACCTCAGCCCTGGCTGCAGTGCCCTAAGGCCTTTCAGGACAAGAGGGAAGGCCCTGCTTTCTCCCTTTAAAATGGAGAGCACAAGGTCCTCGCACCCCCCAGACACTAAATGGCCCTGGGGCTGGAGGGGGAGACATGTGGAAGGGCTGGAAAGAAGTCTGGCTGAAGAGGTCAGGGAGATAAGACAGCAGCTGTAGGATGGGGAGGGGGGGAAGGGCTGAGGGCTGAGATGTGGGGCAAGCGGGAAAGCCAGGCTGCAGGGATGTTGCTAGGTGACCAGAGTGTTGTTGCCCAGCAACCAGCTGATGTAAGTGCCCAGCCTGTAGCTGCACCACCCCAAACCCTTCCTCTGCAGGGTCATCTACCCATGCCGCAGCCTGTGCGAGGCTGTTCAGGCCAGCTGCGAGCCTGTCATGGCCTGCTACAGCTACCCCTGGCCAGCCATCCTGCACTGCGGACGGGTTCCCCATGGGCCATGGTCTCTGCATTGCAGCCTTGGCCAACGGCTCCCTCCTGGATCACCCATGTGAGTCCCTGCAAATCTTGGTCTCCACCTTGCTCAGCCCCATGGGCCGGTACCCCACCCCTTTCAAATCATTCCCCATGGGGATCAAGGTAAATAGCACTCTCAGGTGGCAAAGAAAGGGAGCTGCCTACAACAGGCATCTGTCTCAAAAGGGGTGAAAAAGAGGGAAAAGTGGGAGGGACCCTTTCTGATCATCCCCCTCTTCCCTGATGGGCTCCTCACTCCCCTCTTACTCCCAGTGCCATGTGGCAGCTGCAGGGACTGTGAGTTGCAGAATGCAGACTCACCCAAGGAGATCCTGGACACGCTCTGCACCAGCCCTGAGTGTGTAGCACCCTTTACTCAGCCCTTACAAGTGCCTCCATTTCAGCCCCTGGCTTGGTCCTAAGCCAATGTAAGAGGGAATACCCAAATGCTAGGCCTGCTTAGAGCTAAAAAATTTCCTTTAAGAGTATGGGACATTGCTACAACAACAAAAACAAATAAAAAATTCTGCTAAGGAGGGTGGCATCCCTAAGAGCCTGATTCCAAGAGCTGAGCATCAGACAAGAGGGTTTAGTCCACCAGGGGGAGGGGATGGCAGGGGGCACTCCTAGAGGCCCCTCTCATCACCAACCCCTCTGATCCCATTCAGCAGTGAAGGTCCGGCTCTCCCGGTGCAATGGTACCTCCTCTGGCCCCTGGGATTGTGACCTGGACTCCAGACTAGAAGTGCTGAAGACAGGACCACTGCCCCCTGCAGAGTTGGTGCCCACCCTGCGACGCTGGCTGCAGCTGGATGTCACATGTGTGTACAACCTCCTGCGAGGAAAGCACACAGGGACCTATGTGTTGAGTGGGAAGATGCAGGGCCGCCGGCTATTGGTAACCACGGCCTATGCCTGGAGCCGGGCCCACCGAAATCTACAGCTGGTTGTGCGCAGGTGGCACCATCACCAGTGCTAACCCTGCCAGGGAAAGCCTGGGACTTTGTAGCCACACTCTGCAGTGGCCACACAAATTGTGTCTGTGCCCCTTCTTTCTTCTGCCCTCCGCCCCTGCCAAGGAGATCTGCAGACCAGAGTCCAGAGAGGCACGTGGCTCAAGCAGGATGGAAGCCCATCTTCTCGGGACACAGCTAGGGTCTGCTTCCTGAGCACATAGTTCTCCGCTCAGCCAAGAGGCCAGGCAGGCTCCCTGGCAGCTGTGTGTGCTGGGCAAACAAAACCATCTTTCTGTCCTTCCCAGGCCTGGGATGACAGCCTGGCTACTGCCCTGCCCACATGCCCCAGCACCCCAAGCTGCATCTCTGAGAGGACACACAGCCTTGGGCTGTGCTCACCTTGGGCAAGACGTTGCTTGTTTGTTAAATCCTAGACAGACTCAATTATACCTGCCTGACCTTTACTGAGTCTGCAGCTTTGTCAAGCAGCAGGCCCAAGAAACAGCATCAGGAAACAGCAGGGGTGTGTTTGTGGCAAGGGGTGGGGAGGTCCATGCAGAAAGCTGCATTAAGTTGCTTAAAAACTTAAACTAATATGCACACTAAAATTCTTTCCCTACTTTTGGGCCTCCAGTGTTTGTCATGAGCAAAGTGGTCTGATGTAGCTGCCTAATTATTTTCTTAAACTGAAAAAGAATATATTTGGAAATCCTATGATAAAGTAGTCATGATTTTAACATATAAATTGTTTTGTGTACTGGTGGCAATTATTCATTTACCTTAAATAGTTAAGGAAAATGGATTAAAACTCTTGCTGGCCCGCTGGAAGTGCCCCCTGCTGCCCTTGAAGAGGGTGCCAAGTCAGGAGGTGGGGGCTGGAGGCTACACTGAGCAAACAGGCAGGTGCTGGCATGGGCTGGGAGTGTCCAGTGAACCCCTCCAGGCAGCCAATAATTTTTAGCAGTAGACACAACTCTGACCACTGGATGCACAGCCAGAACAAAGCAGGCCTCTCACACATGCAGATCACCTTTGTGGGCAGAGGCCCAAATGACACAAATAAATACAGAACAGGCCAGGTGTGGTGGCTCATGTCTGTAATCCTAGCACTCTGGGAGGCTGAGACGGGTGAATTGCTTGACCTCAGGAGTTCGAGACCAGCCTGAGTAAGAGCGAGACCCTGTTTCTAATATAAATAGAAAGAAATTAGCCAAACAACTAAAAATAGAAAAATTAGCTGGGCGCTGTGGCGCGTGCCTAATAGTCCCAGCCACTTGGGAGGCTCAGGCAGGAGGATCACTTGAGCCCAGAAGTTTGAAGTTGCTGTGAGCTAGGCTGACGCCACGGCACTCTAGCTGGGACAACAGAGTGAGACTGTGTCTCAAAAAAAAAAAAAAATACAGAACATAGTTTCCAGCAGGGCTAAGCATTGAGACAAAAACCTAGTGGGCTGGTGCAACAGGGTGCCTGGGAACCTTGTAAGATGGGTTTGAGGACAAGAGGTGGGTTAGAGTATATCTGAGCAGAGGCTTCTGGAGCTGAAGTCACCATCTGGGGGCAGAACCAGGTCTAGTGAGGGAAAGGCACATACAAGGCCCCAAGGCAGCAGTGAGCTTCGTGTCTGAGCATCAGTAGGAAGGAAGTGGGAGGTTGCAGGACATGAGGTCTACGAGGTGAGAGGGCTTTGGGGCACCAAATGAGACTCAGAAGTGACATGGAAATGCTGGAGACCTTTAGGGAAGGGGGTGATGAGATCTGACCTGCTGTATAAAGACAGAATGAGTATGGGTGAGGTAGGGTGGAAGAAGTGAGCCACATGTAAGAAAGCTCCCAGAGAGGGGGCAATTACCACAAATGGGGCACTGTCTTTCTGAACTGAATAGGACAGAGTCTTCTGCTCTTCCCTAACATTCCAAATCCTTGGGAAATGCCTACCACAGTCATGCAGGCATTTGCCAGGAGCTCAGGGTGGGGCCTTTTGTGACCCAGATCTCACTTGCCAAGTGTCTCTAGGAACAAGGATAGAAAACAGGAAATATTTTTCAAAGAGAGAGACTGAAGGTTGCATGGGGTCTTCCCTGTGAAGTGCTGGGGTTCCCTTCGGAGAGATAGAGGCACCTTGGGGTAGAACCTCAGTCCCCTTGAACCTCAGTCCACCCACCCTGGAGCCCAGGCCAAGCTCACATCTTGAACACCCACCCTGGAGCCCAGGCCATCTTGGGTCCCTGAGGCTGGCAGGTCACTGGTTTGGAGCCAAAAGCAGCACAGCAGAGGGAGCAGAGCCAACAGCAGGCCCACTCTCCTCAGGCCCTGCCTGCCGCTTTAGGATGATGTAGACAGCAGGCCAATGGATGGATGGACAGGCAGGCACAGAAGTGAGACACACACTGCTCTTTCTGGGAATGAGGCATCCTTCTTTGGATTCATCTAATGCCACAGCACTCAGGAACTGCCCACTGTGGACACCCTCTCCCCTGTGGTTTCCCTCTCTCACAATGGGACTTGCAATCACTAATATCTTCTGCATTTGTCCCACCTTGTTTCGACAAGTAGCAAGCCCCAGGGCTTTCAGGGGAAAACCTGGGCCATCTTCCACCAACAGACAGGAGAGCAATGTTAATGTTTTGGTGGATATGAGGACCACAAACAGGAAGGTCTTGCCACAGCTGCCCAAATCTCCTAATTATGCTGTTTGATCTCTTCTGCTTCATGTAATTTACTCTTGGTGATTTAGTGTCTGGGTTTCTCATTCCCTGCTTTATAGGACAAGCTGTACGTTAGTGGGACTTTGGCCTCTTGGCTCACTTAAGCTAATGTGCACTTGAATTAAATATACACAGGTCTCAGGAAGGCTGAGAGAAAAGACAATCTCCTCAGATGTGTCTGGTCACAGTATTGCAGTAACGAGGTGAGTGTTGTTCCCTTTCCCTGGATCCCCTACCCTGACAGCCATCTGGCTTGGTCCTACACCTCCAGTGGGTCTTTGCTCAAGTATTTTTCTCAGGGAGGCCCATCCTGGCTACCTGAGTAAGAACTTCAACCCCTGGTGAAATTCTGCCTTACTTGTCTGCAATCATGTATCACCAACCTGATACACCATGTACATTTATTAATTTATTTGTTTATTATCTGTTTCCTCCTCATTCCAATGTCAGCTTCAGGGTTTCGTTGTTGTTTTCTATTTTATTCAATGCTGTGTTTGCAGCACCTAAAATTGTGCCTGGCACAGACTTCAGCATTATTCCATAGTAATAGTAACAACCACCACCACCACCACCACCTTTTAGGGCCCCTCCCACATGACTGGCAGCAGAACCTATTTCCCCACAACAGCAAGCATCTCACAGGTCTAGGCATGATTCTCAACTAGGGCCTGCTGCCCCAGGGGTAATGGCACCTGTTCAGATGCTCTACTTTGGTTCTAGCCCCCTTCTTAAAACTCCCTGCTCACTCCAGCTCCCAGCAGCCAGGAATGGCCCTGGGTCTGCAAATATGTGTCGCTGAGGCCAGGTACCAGGGCTGGGCTGTGCAAACTTACCCTGGGCAAGGTCCATGGGGGTGTGGGCCCCTACCTCTGGACACCAGTGGTCTTTGAAGGACTTTGGGGTCTTCACAATGGCTTTAGAGGCAAGCTTCCTGGGTTCTAATCCTAGCTTCACCACCGAACTAGCTGTGCAAACCTGGCCACGCCACAGCAGCTCTCTGTGCCTCACTTTCTTACCTGCTGGCCTGAGGGTGGGATCTACATATACCTCACAGAGGGGCTGTAAGAATTAACTGAAATAATCACACAAACTAGGGCTGAGAAAACATGTGGCTCCAAGTGGAGTCACCTTAGAAGGCTTTGTCCGTTATGATTGAGCAAAAGCCTCTTTCCTGAAGGAGAGTCCCAGAGTGCTGGCAGCAAACACTGGGCCTCTGACTGGTGCCCTGATGGGGCAGGTTTCGGGGCACCAGTTTATCCCCATTTGGACAGCTTCTCACCAAATCACAAGGCCTACTTTGGGAGTGGGATTTCCCCCAGAGGCCCTGAGGTCAGCTGAAACCTGGTTATCAATCTCCCAGCCTCCTCCAAAGTGACAGGATTGATGGTGGCACAGAATGTCAAAAGACGGTGTCAGGGCAACGTTTAGATTCCGGCCTCAGGGTCCTCGCACAGCCCTGTCATGGAAGAATCAGCTGCAGGGAGTAGGGACCAGAGAGGAGAGTGTGAAGAGGGCACCCTGTTCGCCTATTATGGAGAGGAAGTGGGTGCTTCATCTTGGTAATCCTCTGGATGGATAAAAGAAAAGGGCTACTTTGAAGCAGCCATTTTCCAAAACAGAAGTCACGTGGTCGAAATGAGCCTCAAGGTGGCACCAGCCCCTGGCCCTTCCCAGGAGTGCCCGGCGGACTTACCGAAGAGCAGCGGCTTGAGGCTGAGGGTCCGGATGAAGTGATCCCTGTCGGTGACCAGCTGGACCTTACGCTCATGCCCCACCTAAGGGAAAGGCGCACAGCGGGCAGCTGGGGCACCAGACCGCGCTGCCCAGGAAGGGAAGCGGGGCCGAGGCGCGACAGAAGGCGACTGAGTGGGTGCGCGCAGGATCGGCACGGAGTGGCGCCGGGAGGAGCGGGGACCTGGGCCGAGCGCCGGCTCAGCCTGGCGGAGCCTGGAGCGCGGAGGGAGAGGGGGGTGGCGTCCTCACCTTGATGCCCTCGAGCCGGGCGAGGGGGCCTAAGGTTGGCGCGGGCCCAGGGCCCTGGGCGCGGCGCTGGGGCCCCGGGTCGGTGCTCTCGTCGCCGTTACTGTAGTGCACGAAGAGCAGCAGCGCCAGCACGTTGCCCAGGTACAGGTGCACGAACACCATCAGCACCAGAAAGTAGGCGCGCGAGCAGATGCCGCGGGGCTTGCACAGCGGCCGCACCGGTGCGTCCTCGCCGTCGCGCAGTCCGGCCGCTGCCCGCTCCCGGCGGTGCTCTGGCAGCGCCCACTGCGGGCTCGAGGCCTCGCCAGCCGCGGCGGTCCCAGGCCGCTGGCCCGCCGCCGCCGCCGCCATGGCGCTCAGGTCGCGCGCGCGCCCAGGGGAGGGGCCGCGGGGTGCCCGCGCTGCGCCGTCGCCCGGACAACGGCCGCCGGGCCGCGAGCGCCGCGGGCCCGGGAGACGGCGCCGGGGCTGCCGCCCGCGCCCGCGCCGAGCTCGGCCTCTCCGCTCTGCCGTGGACCCCGGCCCACGCCGGTCCCTCCTCCCGAGCGGGGTTATGGTCAGGCAGAGCTGGACGCTCTCCAGGACAGAAGCCAAGCCCCCAAATGCAGACGCAGACAAGAGCAGCAGCACCATTAAGGCAGATCCCACTGTTGGCTTCGCAGTCGCTAGGTTGAGAGGCCCTCTTCGCTCCTCCCGGAAAACTGAGGTCTGCATCTTCTCCTGGGAGCGGGGTGGGGGAGTGGCAGCAGGGAAGAGGCAGCGCTAAGACATGACTCAACACTGCGGCGGTTCGGACGCCGCAGAGGCCTATGACTGCCTACGTGAAGATATGGTAGGACCCACGACCTTCTGGTAGGCGTTCTTGGAGGTCCGTTCCGCGGTTGTCCGGATCTCTGGCAAAGTGCTGCACAGCCAGGCCTTAGGAAGAAGCTGCCTGGTGTGCGGGGTGGGGCTGGGGGTGCTGAGCGGTCAGGGGCATCCTAAAGAGTCCTGGCATCAGGCCAGCCTCCCAACAGTAACCCGCAGGATGCAGATGTGAAGAGGGGCAAGGGGATCCCCCACAATTGAGATACCGTTACCTCGGGAAAATGAAACTCAAGATTATCAGCAAAAACGGGGGTGGGCAGACATACCAGTGGCCCAGTGCCAAGGCATTTTTTGTGCTCTCTGCTCTTCTAGGGCTGGGTTATCCTCAGGCAGAGATGCATAAACCCCAGGGCAGAAGTTGACCCCTGACTCCCTCAGGTAGACCTGAAGACAATACCATTAAGGCAGGTCACACTGGTGGTTTCTGATTACCCTGTTAAAACCTCCCTTTTCCCCCTCCCACTACCCCTTGGAAAACATAGTCCCCCTTGAAAAACATTTTCTGGTCTAAGGGCAAGCCAGGGGCTCCAAAGGCAGGCCCAAAAGAGAGATTCTACACACAATGGCAGGTTTCACCAATGCAGGCTCCCTCAGGGACCACTTTGTCAATCTCCTTAGGATACTGAAGAGAAACACTGCTCCATAAAAGGAGAGGTTCTTGATGTCTCAGGGATGGAGGAGTAGCAGGTAGTAAGGAGAGCTGTTGTGGCTTAGCCAAAGCTGGATTGCTAACCAGTCACCACCAGTGGCCCAGCATCTCCCTTCGGATGGTGCGGGAACCGACAGCTCTGGAGGCAACCAGGCAGCCCTATTACTCCCTCCGCAGAAGCAGAGGCAGTGAGGACCTGGCCCCTTTCTAAAATTAATTCCAAAAGAAATTTAAGTGCTGCAAAAGAAATGTTTCTAAGTCAAAAAGATGAAAATATATATATATATATATATATTTTTTAAAGTAACAGGGTCTCACGCTGTTGCTCAGGCTAGAGTGTGATGGCATGATCATAGCTCATTATAGCCTCGAATTTCTGGGCTCAAGGGATCCTCCTGTCTCTCAGCCTCCTGACTAGTTGGGACTATAGGTGTACACCACCGTGCCCACACATTTTTTCTTAATTTTTTTAGAGACAGGGTCTCACTATGTTTGTTGCCCAGGCTGGTCCCAGTGAGAGTAATTTTTATCAAAGTCCCAAAACAACAGATGTTGGCATGGATGCAGAGAGATAGGAACACTCATACACTGCTGGTGGGACTGCAAACTAGTACAACTTCTATGGAAAGTAGTATGGAGATACCTCAAAGAACTAAAAGTAGAACTACCATTTGATACAACAATCCCACTACTGGGTATTTACCAAAGGAAAAAGTGACATTCTATAAAAAAGACACCTGCACTCAAATGTTTATAGCAGCACATTTCACGACTGCAAAGATGTGGAAACAACCCAAGTGCCCATCAATATACAAGTAGATTAATCAAATGTGGTGTATGTCTACATACAGGAGTACTACTCAGCCATAAAAAAAACTGGTGAATTGGCTGGGTGCAGTGGCTCACGCCTGTAATCTTAGCACTCTGGGAGGCCAAGGCAGGCGGATCATTCAAGGTCAGGAGTTTGAAACCAGCCTGAGCAAGAGCGAGACCCCGTCTCTACTAAAAACAGAAAGAAATTAATTGGTCAACTAAAATATATAGAAAAATTAGCTGGGCATGGTGGCACGTGCCTGTAGTCCCAGCTACTCAGGAGGCTGAGGCAGGAAGATTGTTTGAGCCCAGGAGTTTGAGGTTGCTATGAGCTAGGCTGATGCCACAGCACTCTAGCCTGGCAAGAGTGAGACTCTGTCTAAAAAAAAATAAAATAAAACGGTGAATTCCTCTTATTAACATAGATGGAACTGGAGACTATTCCTCTAAGTGAAATATCACAAGAATGGAAAACTATGCACATGTACTCACCATTAAATTGGAACTAATAGATCAACACTTATGTGCACATATGGAAATAACACTCACTGGAAATCAGCAGGTGGGAGGGGGGCTTAGGGAATGAGTAAATTCACACCTAACGGGTACAATACAGACTATCTGGGGGATGGGCACTTTTACAACTTTGACTCAAACAGTACAAAAGCAATTTATGTAACCAAAAAGTTTGTACCCCCGTAATATTCTGAAATAAAAAAAAATAAACAAAAATATCTTGTACAATACCCAATACCCAAAAAGAAACAAAGTATCCATAATAGTGATACATTCATAAGAAATATCTACATGTAGCCATTTTAAAATGTGGCACATGTTCATGCCTGAAGTTCTTTAAGATGTAGCTTGCATATGTATTATATGATCCTTATTGTGTAAATTTAAAAGTAAATATAAAGATATGTGGGAATATGTATAAATCATTTTTCTAGAAATAACCACAAGAACTTTAGAGAAATAAGGGAGGGGAAAAGGTAGTTTTCACTTGTTTTATCTCTTTCTGAATTTATTATTATTGTGTATGCTATATTTGTTAATAGATCCTTTTTGGTTTTCTTCTTGATACTTATAATATTAAAGACAAATAAATGACACAGTAAAGAAGAAAAACAACCTTCTGGGCTCAAGCAATCCTCCCAGCTCAGCCGAGTTGCTTGAATTACAGTCATGAGAAGGGATGAGAATTCTATTACCAGTTTAGGACTGTTCAAATTTACTGCAGCTTGTCTCTTATCCACCTTAGTTAGGTCAGAAGTCTCTCAATTTCTGAATATAGTAGTATAACAGAAATAAGTCAAAATTCTTACATATAAGAAATACTAACCAACACAAGCACACTTTTTATTTTTTATTTTATTTTTTTTGAGAAAAAGTCTCACTCTGTTGCCCAGACTAGAGTACCGTGGCATCAGCCTAGCTCACAGCAATCTCAAACTCCTGGGCTCAAGCAATCCTACTGCCTCAGCCTCCCGAGTTAGCTGGGACTACAAGCATGTGCCACCATGCCCGGCTAATTTATATATATATATATATATAATTTTTTTTTCAGTTGTCCAGTTAATTTCTTTCTTTTTTTAGTAGAGATGGGGGTCTCACTCTTGCTCAGGCTGGTCTCGAACTCCAACTGAAACAATCCGCCTGCCTCAGCCTCCCAGAGTGCTAGGATTACAGGTGTGAGCCACCGTGCCCACGCCCAGCCCACAATCACACTTTTACAAGGATCTAATGGTTTTCTGGTACCAATGAACGAATGTTGAGATTATTTCTTTCTTGCCTTTTAAAAATTTTACCACCATATAAATATAAAATCCTCACTTTCCTTAGCCTATTTTCCTGAATCCCATTCTTCTACCTTTCTGTTACCTGTATCCAACTGTGTTACACCCACTGCTATGCACAGGGGCTTCTCTGCTAGCTCATCACATCAGACAACAGAAGGCAAGCATGCTTCAGGGGGGTGAGCATGCCTCACCTCCATTTCTGCTCCACCTACTGTTGGCTGTGGGAATTTCACAACCACATCAAAAAGCAGAATTTCTCTGCCTTTTAAAAGGGCCATTTCTCTGGCCCTTTTGGGGTCATGGCAATCTCACCTCCATTGCTGATTATGCACTGCCAAATCTGGGCCTTCTGCTGAGCTGTTCTAATGTGTATTATAAAAATTGGACTTTCTAGTTTTTAACAGCAAACATGTTTTCTGTTGTTTTGCCATTTGCCTATAGCCTTGGGCAAATTCTCATTTTAAACAGCTATGTAATGTGGACGACTGCACCTACCTCACAGGTCTGCTGTGATAACCAAATGGGTATGTGGCTCAGTCGCTGTTAGTGTCTTACAGGGACAGGAACTGGTCTGCCTTGATTTAATCAATGGCTGGGTCTTCAGTGCCCCAGAATCCGGCATACAGGTGATGTTCAGATGCTTGTTCTGTGAAACCCTGGGGGCTACATGGAAAACCCGTCCTTTGCACTTTGCTAGAATGTATTTCCACTTGTCTCTTTCTAGGATCACCATGGGTATGGCGCCAAGGCCATAGTTTCCTGCTCACTGTCTGTAGGAGTGGCCCTGTGCATGGGTGGTCCTTCAGCCCCTGGCCTTGCTGTCCCAATAAAAAGTCACTAGTGACCAATTCCTTTTGTGTCCCCCATGGGCTAGAGGCTCCTAGAGGGTGCAGCACACCACTGTATGCCAGGTGCCAAGCATTAGGCTTGGCACACCTGAGGTCCCAAAGAACTGTGGACTTCAGAATGGCAGTGCCTAAGGTCTCTTCTAGCCTCATCTGCCCTGTGCATGCTGCTCACAGATCTGGAGCTTTCATGTTACCAAGCTACCCACCATAGAAGTTGCTGCCACTCCCGATACCACAATTAGAACTCAAACCCCATTTCCTGTTCTTTACTTTAGAGATTAGATTCCAAACACTTCCAGTTTCTGTAATGAGTTGTTTCTTCAAAACTCTCAGGGTCCCTGTGAAGCCATCACTGTCATACTCCACAGTCCTACACTCCAACATCTGCTTTGAGGGACTCAATATTCTTCTTTGCCCCAAAGGGACCACTTACAGGTGTCCTCTCCACACAGCCAGAAAGGGAAAAAAGGCAGAGCCAAATCTAGCTCAGTAGATTAGACCCTACTTAGACTCTTTGAAGAAAGACTCTACACACACTTATATAATCAGAAACTTAGTTTATTTTGAATAAACCACTCAACTTTGAGCAGATGACATTGGCTCAATTAACTTTTTCTTTGAAGAAAAACAAAGAGATATGGTGAATTCATGAAAATACTGTGTCTTCTTTTCTCTTCTATCCTTTGCAGGGAAGAAAAATTCTGCCTGACCTTTTCCACCTTCCTGATAATGTTAACAAAAGGATGGCCACTGGGGGCATAAAAGGAAGCTCTCCACAGATCAAGAGCTACAGGCTATAGGCTGGGCAGGGCCACAACTGCAGAACCTGGCAACTATGCAGTCCAAAAAATGCCCAGGGCGTGATTAGCATGCATAGCTAAAACTCAGATCCTGTGCCACAACGCTGCCACAGAAAAGACTCGATGGAGAGATGAAGGCTCAGATGCCAGGATACTGTGTGTGCCAACACAGCATTCACACCCTGCCCTGCATCCTGCAGCAGGTGCTCTCCTCATTCACTATTAGCTCCCACTGTGCCATTCTGGGTGCATTTGCTACACTCCATATTTGTTCCCCGATCCATCCCACCGTCTCTGCTTTGCTGGGGGCTACAGGAAGAGACAAAACCCTAGGGGTAGAAAGGGAGAGGGAACCCACAACCAGCCGTTTACAGCATGACCTCAAGAGTCACATCTGTCCTCTGTCAAAAATGACTCAGTTTTACCGCTTACATGGTACCTGGGACATTGCTGACTGGAGGTGAAATGTATGAAATACTAAAGAATGTCCACCACAATATTCACAGATCTCCCTATCAGCTCTCCCAGGAGATCAAGGAGGCCTGGGAGGGTATAGACAGCTCGGTCTGCCTACAGTGTAGGCACTGAACAAAGCCACAGAAACCCCAGAGATCACAGATCTAACTTTTCAAAGGCCCACAGGACCAGGTTCAGGACAGGTAGGACACCAGGCAAAGCACCTGCTCCCTTGCACTTGACTGTGCAAAAGCTGGTTCTTTCCTCTGGCCAGCTCCTCCTAGTACAGGATACAAGAGTTAGGAACACAAACCAAGGACTCTCCTGGGCTTAGACTCCCAGACCCTAGAGGTGGTCTCCTTTGACAGCTGGGACCAGGCAAGGGGGAACACACCCCAGCCCCAGGGCAGCCACTGGACATGTTACAAGTAACATGAAAACCTGGCCCCCGAGCCAGGGAGGCCATGCTGAACTCTGCTCCTGATGTTCACCACATGGGAGTACAGCAAGACACCCTCAGGTACAGCTGCATGTGACCCTGGCCAGTTACACCACTTGAATACTGGCACAAAAAAGGGATGAAGGTAAAGCAAATTTATTTGGGGGGACAATTCCCTTTGAAAGTAGATCTTTGTGTTTATGAGACAAAAGGAGAGACTATGCTCAACCTGCATCCCCTAGTCTGTGGGGTCACAGCCCACCTGTGTATGCTATAGGCTCTGTCTGGCCTCAGTAGCCAGACTCAGGTAAATCTCACTTTCAAGAATAAAGATGAGCCCAAAAACACACAGCACCACCAGAGATGACACTGGTGGCAAGACGACCCTGTTCTGTACTATCTTCTTACTTCCAAGGTAAGGCAGGAGGCATGATGTGACTCCCTGCACTCGATATGCCCACTGCACAGGCCAACTTCTTCTCCATCTGCCACCCACGCTCTTCCCTTGGGACTCCAGCTCTGGCCAAACACATGTGAATCTGGACAGCAGAGAACACTCTAGGACCCTCTTGAAGCACAGACATTGCGAGGCAGGGTAGGTGGGCAGCATATGTCACATTCTAAGTAAAATAGCTACAGGGTAAAACACTCCAATGCCAATTTATTTTTAAAAAGGGCTCTGTGTTATCCTATGTTTTGCCTTTTCTTGTATAATTGTACAACCTTTGAAAATTACATAAGTTGTAATGATCTAATACTATTAATAGCCATTCAGAAAAAACTCTCCCTCCCTCCCGATAACCATCCAGGGGGAAATTAAAAGTCCTGAAAAGAGGTCAATTCAACATGGCCTCTACCCTGGTAGAAACAAAAAGTGAAAAGATGAGAAGAAAACAGAAATTGACTAAGAGGTGTTGCCAGTGTCTCTCAGGAGTGGGGCCCTGACTGTTGACTGGGGTCATGAAAGGCAGAGCCTGCAGCATGCAGTATGGCAGCTGGGAGACCTTGCAGCCACATCTTCCTCACCCCAGCACATCCATGTCCCAGTTAGGTGTCATGGAAATCCTTCAGTAGGGTTCTCCTCCGCTGCTCCGCTATGTGCATTTGGTTCTCCAAGTCCTGCACCAGGGAAGCAAGATGGGTGCTGGCATGAACCAGTCCACGGAGGACGGATGAGCCAAAGCCATACCTACTTTGTCAGGGGCTTCAAGGAGTCAAAAGCACTGCCCTGCCCACCCTTCTCAGCAGCAGGTTCCAGTCCACATGACTACCACACTGTCACCTATTACCATGCCACTCCTCCCTTACCTGCAATATGGAGTCCCAGAAGACAGCAGACACTTACCCCTCTGTCATAGCTGTCTGCACGTTCCACTTTCCATGAGAGGTTTTCGATCTCAGCCTCCAGCTGAGCCTGCTGGTATTCAAACTGCATGGGCAGAGTAGGAGAGTCAAAAGGTGAGGGGAATGTAACCGGGGCAGGGCCTATAGATTGGGGTGTGGGGGGGGCATGCATAGCACTTCAGACTTGCAGAACTACAGACACCCTGATGCTGCCCCCAGATAGTGAAATTCCCTATGCACAGAGCCAGAATCCAAACAAAAGGCTCTTCTCTCACAAAAGCAGATGGAAAAAATATAGAAAGTAGAAAAAAAAAAAAGAAGAAGAAAAGAAAAAAATGAACAAAAGGCTACCCTAAGAGTATAGCCAAATGACAAGGCCACATCCACCCTTCACTCCCACAGGAAGGGGAAGAATTTAAGCCACTGGAGAAAATGCTCCCAACATATATATAAACAGATGCTGCAAAAAACAAGTCACAATGAATATTCTCAGGGACTGTATGCACTAAACTTTTCATTTTTTTCAGCCCTTACATAAATCAAGAGCCTTGAAAATTCTCAAACTTATATTGACTTACTAATTATATATCTAAGGAGATTGGCTTTATGCACAAAAATATTCCTCAATATCAGGCTGGGCGTGGTGGTTCACTCCTGTAATAACGGGCTTGAGCTTAATCCAGGATAGCATAAACAGTGCTAGCTCACTGTCATTTCTTAGAATTGAGTAATATTCCATTGTGAGCATATACCAAATTTTAATTATCAACTCATGACGGGCACGTGGGTTGTTTCCATGACCATGCAATAGAGAATTGTGCTGCCATAATCCTAGCACTTTGGGAGGCTGAGGCGGAAGGATCGCTCAAGGTCAGGAGTTCGAGACCAGCCTGAGCAAGAGCGAGACCCCGCCTCTACTATAAATAGAAAGAAATTAATTGGCCAACTGATATATATATAAAAAAAAAATTAGCCGGGCATGGTGGCGCATGCCTGTAGTCCCAGCTACTCGGGAGGCTGAGGCAGGAGGATCGCTTGAGCCCAGGAGTTTGAGGTTGCTGTGAGCTAGGCTGACGCCACGGCACTCACTCTAGCCTGGACAACAAAGTGAGACTCTGTCTCAAAAAAAAAAAAAAAAAAAAAAAAGGTGTTTACCAGTCTGGTAAAGTGTGATAGCTACAACAATAAGCTATTGTAACAAAATGTTGTTATATGTAACCTTGAGTACATACATAATATTAATTTCACAAAGCTGGAAAATGCTAATAGTAGTCATTTCTTACTGGTGGAATTAAGGATGATGGATGATGTAGATGCTTTTCTATGTTTTCCAACATTTAAACAATAAATGTGAATTACTTTGTAATTAGCGTGAATAACACATATCTAAGATGAAGAATTAAACAAAGGTATAAAAGCCAATTACAACTCAGAGACAAGCATGATGAATTACCTTCTAAAGCATGGACATTGGTCTCCCAAGTGCCACAGACCTTTTCAGCCAATCATCCTTTAAATATGGTTGTTCAGGGCTTGGGTACATCTGCTTTACTATTACACAAAGTGACAGAACCTGAGATCTATTTTGGAGGTGCCCAGAGTAGAAATGGAATTTTGCAATTAGACAGTTTTGTTTTCATTTTGCCCTCCCAATGACCAGGACCTGCATCCTGCTCTCCTGCAAAGTGCTGGCAGACAAGGGGACCTCTGAAGTGAATAGGTCAGAGTGGAGGGATGGCTTTGCCTTACCAATTTCTTCCTGGGTCCAGACTCCATGTAGTATGCATATGGGTAGGTGTATTGCAAGGTGTATCGACACTGCAGTAGGAATAAAGAAAAGAGACTTGTGTCTGTGATTCTAACCTAGCTGCACTTCAGCTAACTCTTAGAATTCTTACTCTACTATGCAAATTAGCCTGGTTCTATAGGTATGAGCCTGAAAGAAATGAGGTCAAGCCAAAGAGGGTAAGACGTGGGAAAAACTGAAATAAAGGCCAGGCTTGGTGGCTCACGCCTGTAATCCTAGCACTCTGGGAGGCTGAGGCGGGAGGATCGCTCCAGGCCAGGAGTTCGAAACCAGCCTGAGCCAAGAGCAAGACCCTGTTTCTACTAAAAATAGAATATAATTATTGTCAACTAAAATATATAGAAAAAATTAGACAGGCACGGTGGCGCATGCCTATAGTTCCAGCTATACTCGGGAGGCTGAGGCAGGACTGCTTGAGCCCAGGAGTTTGAGGTTGCTGTGAGCTAGATGATGCACAGCCTCTAGCCGGCACAAGAGTGATTCTGTCTCAAAAACCAAAAAACACTGAAATAAAAAATGGTTATAAAACACCCACAGTTCCTTTTTTATTTTTATTTTCTTATTTATTTATTTTAGTACTGATGCTCTTTCAATTTATTTTTATTTTTGAGACAGAGTCTCACTTTGTTCCCCATGCTAGAGTGAGTGCCGTGGCGTCAGCCTAGCTCACAGCAACCTCAAAGTTTTTTTTTTTTTTTTGAGACAGAGTCTCACTTTGTTGCCCAGGCTAGAGTGAGTGCCGTGGCGTCAGCCTAGCTCACAGCAACCTCAAACTCCTGGGCTCAAGCAATCCTTCTGCCTCAGCCTCCCAAGTAGCTGGGACTACAGGCATGTGCCACCATGCCTGGCTAATGTTTTCTATATATATGTTAGTTGGCAATTAAATTTCTTCTATTTATAATAGAGGCGGGGTCTCGCTCTTGCTCAGGCTGGTTCTGAACTCCTGAACTCGAGCAATCTGCCCGCCTCGGCCTCCCAGAGTGCTAGGATTACAGGCATGAGCCACCGCACCCAGCCTACAGTTCCTTTTTTAAATTGTAATTTATTACTAACAGCTACTTCAATGGCTTTTCCCTCTTAAGTCCTCTTTACTATCAGAGTCCACACATCTACCTCAGCACTTTTCCAAAGACAACCTCTTATTCTCCTTAGAGTGATGCACAGATGGGACAAAAGGAGAAGAAAAATGTTCTAGCTTTCTCTGCAAGCAGAGGCAGTGGAACATTCTTCTTAGAAACCTGCTGAACATCCAGCTGAGGGCTGGGCCCTTGAGGCACACATTATAGGGAAATGTGGACCTATAAGCAGAAGCATGCAGGGCTGCATAGGGTGCCAACCCAACCAGCCCCCACAGGGCATCTTACCCACAGAGGTCTGTGCCCCACATGGCCAGGCATTGGACTGGGGATTGGAAAAGTGAGGTGGTGGATACCTTGGCCAAGAGCTTGGCAGCATTCTGTAGGTATTGCCAGTCGATCCATGTCCCCAGATTGTTCATAACCCTCTCCTGAATCTTCTCATGAATCCGCTGGTATGTCTGTGCCTCTAGCTGCAAGCTTTTGTTGTGGTTTTCCCACTATAGGGTACCGAAAGAAGAGAAAACTGCAAGAGTCCCAGGAAGGTGCATAGGTCTACATAAGAGTTCAGGATAGACATCTTGCCTCAGGGTGGTTACAAACTCCTCTAACTTATGGGGACTATGTGTCCTTGAGAGTGTGAGAAAGGGTCTTTATCAGTCCATACTTTTTTTTTGGACACCACTCCCCCCAATCCATACTTCTAATCTCTCTAGAGTAGCTACCTCCCTGCCAGATCACTCCACCCCTCTGGGGCAATAGGACTCCAGCCCTGGAGACTAGGCAAAGCTAGGCGTATGATGGCCTACTGTGCTTAGAGACTAAAATGTGCTGTGCTCTTTGGGTTTCTGAAGGGTCTCCCTGAGAGGAACTGTTCTCTAAGCCTTACTACTAAGATAGCACTGGATGGAAAAGACTGTCTGATGGCCCTTCACTGTCCTTCAATCAAACATTCAACCAAGGTCAGTACCAGGGTCCATCCCTATCAGCTAGGGCTGGCTGCCCCTGGCTACCAGTCCCTGGAAATCCCACTCCAGCAGGCCAAGTGAAGAAGCACACCTTGGAAGGGCAGGTGCAGGAGAGGACACCTACCCTCTCAAAGTAGAATAAGTACTTCTTGAGGGCTTCCCTGGCCTGAGCTTGCTGGCTCTGGTTGACAATGTCAGGATTCTCCTTGTAACGGCTGCACTCGTAGTACTCGCTGCCATGAGTCTTCCAATCTCCTAGACACATCCAGCAGAAGTCTGCACAGAACAGAGGAAGAGTCATTTATACCCACAAGACAACCCCACATTCCTCCAAGGGACAGGCAAAGCAATGGGATGAATAGACCCTGCCCCAGAGGAGTGACCTGACCAAAACTTCCCAAAGGTACCTCTTTCCAAAGAGAATGTACACCTCTCATCCCTGTTATATCCTAACTGTCCCTGTGGTCTCTCCTTGTTGATATGAACAGCCTATGGATATTCTCTATTCCTTGAGCACATATGCTTTGTGCCTTATTAATTCCATACAGGTAGATGCTAACTGTGTGAAGACCACTGGTCTGCTGTGTCAATGCCACTATGAGTAGAAACTTGTCAAAGTGAGACCCACCTGGTTGTCTAGAATACACCATGTGTGTTCTAGTAATACCTTATACCTGGTCTATATTCTGTCTCTGCCAGAGACCCTGACAGTGGCAAATCCTGTTTCCCAGGATTTACTCTCATAACTTGGCTCACTGACTTCCCAAAAGGGGCTCTCATGAAGTTTTAGGGAAGCTAAAGACAGACACCCAGAGATGGTTCAGCTTCAGTTCTCTCCTCCTGGGAGCTCTCATTTAATAGTGGCAATACTGCCCTTTTCTTAATGAGGTGCCTGCCACTGTTTTAAATAATAATACACTCCCTAGGGTTGCCCATATAGGTGGTATAACTATACAGCAAAGCAAGGGATGGTAGTTAATAACTGTGTGTGTCAAGAGATACAGAGACTAGGGAGGGCACATGGGGGCTTCTTAGGCTCTAGGAACATCTGATAGTGAGGTGTTTGCCATTCTTTAAACTGTGTCTTTTGCATATTTTGCATTGTTCTAAATGTGTGATACACTTCTCTCTCACTCAAACATACATAATGGGGTACCCACGGAGAAAATGCCACTTCTAATTGGCCTGTTTTCGTTCTACACTGTAGTCACTGTTCCTAAGACCTTGCCATGTTCACTCTGATTACAGAGGTCTCCTAGGAATAGCATTTGTATGGGCACTTAAAAAGAGAAACTCTCAGGAGCTCCTGGTCAGCATCAAAGCAGTTGTGTAGACCTACTTGGACATATTTTCTACTTGAAAGGATTTTGTTTCTTCACTTGACTTGGTAGGAGAAAACCCAAAACCAACAGGTTCTAGCTATGTAAACTGTTTCTGATAGATAAAAGAGACCTGAAAGCTAAATCAAGACTCTCTTGAGAAACTTTATAAAACCTTAAGGGAAAATATTATTTTACTACTTCTGGCAAAACCATGTACAACTTGCTCTAAAAGGTCATTTATAAGGTTGCACAGATAAGCCCCATGTTACTTACCAGCCTTGGCAAAAAGAATAAAATGAACACACTAAAATCTTCTTGGATGACTGAGAATCACAAGGGTCATCTCAAACTTGACTTCTGACTACGTGTGTCAGCAATGAGGCAGTGGGATTATAAGAGGGACCAAAAGATAAAAAAATCAATAAAAATCAAGAGCTACTTCATGGCAGTGATTGTGACTGTAAGTGACTGAGGCTCCCCTCTGTTTTGTCATTTCACTACAGAAGTACTCACTAAAATGGCAATGGAGACCCAAGCACAAGAAACACAGACCATGCTACTGGGCCTTAAGCACCAAGCCCGGGACTCACCGTGTTTACATTTAGAGCATTGCTGTCAGAGGGAAACAGAAGAGAACATGTTAAGGGCATGCTGATCAAAGGCTCCATGTCACACATGCAAAGTATACAGGCTTCTGCTCACCATGTGATTGCAGCCTCCATTCTTCTCAATGCAGATGTTGCACTTGGGACACTGAGGAGACAGAAGAGTGCCATTAGGCTCACGTACCACCACGTCAGTTTTAAGACAAATTACACAAAAGCTCCTGGCACTTGTGCCCAGTAGCTCATCGTGCGAGCACTCCTGGGTTGAGTATCTCATTTAAATGCGGCAGGTCGCTGAGGCTGGAATAGCAATTCAAGGAAATGAGGTCAGCATATTTGGCTCTGAAACACTTCAAGCACCATCTGCCCCTGCCATGAAGCTGCTCAGATTAAGCACAGAGCTGAATCAGCAGAAAGTCTGCCTGCTTGAGAGGACTGCCAAAGAAGCACAAGAGCTGCCACACTGGATTAACTCCTGATCAGCTTGCCTGGGCATTTGCTTCCAGAAGAGGGCAAGAAAACCACCTCTAAATCTCTCCTCTCTTTCATATGAGAGATTCCAGCAACCTCAGGCAGCAATGCATAGACCAGTCTGATGCTGTGCCCTCTCACTGCCATGAAGTAGACTAAGTTTCATGATGTCATAGTCACAGCCGTGCTTGGGAGTGCCTGACTCAGTGAGTGACTGGCACAGGGTACAGTGGCCCCTAGACCCTATAGGCCATAATTTCCCATGGGAAGCTTCAAAATGAGAACTAGGCAGGCCTGGGCTTGCATTGCAGACTTACTACTTATCAGGTGTGGCGAATAAATTTCTAGAGCTGTTAAAGTCTGGTAGGAATTCAATGAAAATTAATTTTCTTCTAATCAGTTCCCCTGTGGGTCAAACTTTTCCAGGTATTTTGGCATTTTATTAAAATAAATGCACCCAATGCATTCTATGATAAACTGCTGCAAACTCTCCCAAGTCTGGGTGAGGCCTATAGTGTCTAGCAAGGGCCGTGGGACTCTGGGTGTTGTGTTCTCAGATGGCAGATCTCCAAGGTAAGGCCCTGGACAGCACTAAGAAGGACAAATCCATGATAGGTAAGATACAGTCCTTACATCTTTAGTGTGAGCACTAATGTAGTTGGCCGTTTCAGAGTCATCTGCACACTTCGTGAGCCATTTCCGGATTGTGGCGCAGTCTGTGGGGGCGTGATACATCTGACGACACTTGAAACTTAAAATTGGAAAAGAAAAACATTCAAATACTTGTTTTAATTTTCCTTTTGTCCAAGCCAACAGATCATGAATTAGAGCTTTTCAAAGAGATAAAGTCACCTTTCGAGACCTCTGGGACCTTTACTTACCCAGGATTATAATGAAATACTGCATCAATGTCTCTTCAACCTGAGACCTTCTAAGACATGCTCTAATATCCCCAAATAAAATGTTTCTGTTTAAATATCTTGTGCGGTGTCACCCCTTCCTGAAAGGATGTCAAAGATGCTCTGAGAAGGACTTCTCAGCTCAGATCAAGGCAGGCTTGAGATCTACTTCTGGGAATCTCACCTCACCTCCCAGCCAGACGTGCACACGAGGATGCACAAATGTCAGAACTTGCGAAATCTGTAGGGTCATGATACGTCTGATGACACTTAAAACTTAAAATAGAAAAGAAAAACACTCCAATACTCATCAGGCTAGGCTCCTGTGTTTTCAATTTCCCTTTTGTCCAAGCCAACAGTACTCTTGTGGATAGTAAAGGCCCTCAGGCAGATAGCCAAACACATGCCCCAGGAAGAGAAGTTCGTAAAGTAGGACACAGGATAAAGAGAACTTCATTACCAATTCTTAACCTTACATGGGCCACATAGTCCCTCAACAATATCTTGAAAGTCAGGCATGTGTGCCCACAAACACATTTCCCATGTAGTTTCTCTGAAGCTCCACCATGAATCTTTTCCAAGGAGGCATGATTAGGATGACAGATCTGTACCTAAATTATGGCTCTGCCATTTACCAGCAGGTTTACCTTGTACCTTGATTTCCTTACCTAGAACATAAGGGTCATACACAAATGTGATAATGCAGGGAAAATAATCAGGATAGTACCTGTCACCTGGTAAGCCTCCAGTAAACTTTAGTTATTCCCATGATATCTACTGAATGGAAGCAGATACATATTTTTGAATTAGTTTTATAGAAATTAGCCAAGAAAGACTAAGACAGAGAAAGATTAAAACATTGAAGGCTGTACCTTCAAACACAGTGAATTATATGTGCAGGTAGATATATGTACCCATACAATCTTTGGGCCATTGAGTCCTACTAGCATAAACCATAATACATTCTCCAAAAATCTGTGCCACTTCATTGTCTCCAAACTGAATATTTATCAAACAGCTTGTGGACCATGAGACGCTGGGCACAAACCTGCCCACTTGGAGCAGAGCTGCTCTTTTGGCTCAGAGACCACACCTCTCCCATCCACACCTTCATACACAGCAATAGCAGTGGGTGCTTTGGAGGAGGATGGGTCACAAGCCCAAGGCTGCTCACTACCCACTCACTCTTACCAGAAGACCTCGTTGCACCGATTGCACTGCACTCGGCGAGCTCTAGGCTCCTGTACCCGAATAACCATGGGGCAGTCTGCGCCAGGGCACAGCTGGAGCTGGTAATGACTCTGTGAACACACCAAGAGGAAACAATGAGGACATCCCTTAGTTGCTGCCTCCAAATTAGACCCCCCTGAATGCTCAAACACCTGTTCTTCCAGCTAATGACTATATCAAGGAGCTATATGAACTCAGGATAGATGTCATGAAGATCAGACATTAGTTCAATATTGAAGAGGACCTTTGAATGTTTAGCTTAAACCAGGCAGCATCTCACCAGAATGATTCAAGGTTATATTATGAAATAGAATACAGAATTGCATCTGTGAGATGAACATGCCTATGGACTAGGGCTGGAAAGGAAAAGCCTAGTTAGCTGTGTATAAGATAGCTGTGAGGGGCTCAACGACCCTCAGGAATCTACCAAAGGCAGCAAATAGCACAAATAACAAGGTCTTCTGTTTATCCTGCAGCACATGCATCAGAAGACCCAGATCACAAATTAATCTAATAAGCTTAGGCATAAAGGACAAAGATGAAAACTATGCTGCATGGAATCACCAAGCTCGGACAGGTAGCCCAACAGAGCTGGAAAGGACTCCAAAACTTACCACGCTGGAATCCTGGACAAGTTTTCAAATTGCTCAAAAAGCAATACGCTTTCTCTGTGCTGAATCACACAGTAAACTGAACGAAACAGAAAATACTGACGTATGCCTAACTTGTTTTCATCCCCTGACATACAATAGCTTGTTTAACACATTGACTGCCACACTAGGAAAAAAATTTTTTTTCCCTAGGGCCATGGTGTTTTATGAAAACAAAATGATCCTTTCTAATTTGCTATTTTTTATTGTTTTCTGTGCATGAATTATATGCAACACAACCCATGCTTTTAGAATTAAATTGTCGATATGAATTGTAACAATAAGAACAATCAACAAATAATATTTTCATGAACCAACTGCAGGGTTTTGCTTTACAAGGCCCCAGGGTCAAAACTAAGCCTCAGTTAAATACAACTCACATGGCAGTCAATGTGTTTAGCAACTATGTATAAGGTGGGGATGTCTGTCCATTCCACAAAAGAGAAAATCAAAACTCAGAGGGGTAAAATAATGGGTCAATAGTCACACAGTAAGGAAGGAACAGACCTAGGTTTCACACATTGGTTTGTCTGACCCCAGGGTCAGTGTTCAATACCACTCTAGTGGTTTTCAAACTTTTTTAAAGCCATGGAGCTCTTTCTTTAAAGGGTAGTACCTAATGGTAACCTAGTCTATAAAATAAGTAACTGTGGTGACCATCTGGCCATACCTCCACATAGTCCCTGAAGAGGTAGCGCCTGTATTTGTCTCTCAATTCTTCGTTGGGAAGCAACGGAAACACAAAGTCCTCTGGTGTACGGAGTGGACAGTCCTGAGCCATACAAGAGACTCCTGTTGAACAAAGACAACCTGATAGATGACCATATTACAGAAGACACAAGACAACATACTTGCCTGCTGGGTTTAACCAACAAATCCAGATTCCATATAGGAAACCCCTGAAGCAACAGAATTTATCCAAAGAGAAGAGAAAAATTAACATATTTTCAAAGTGATATAACTAAATTATTAGTCAAAATTTTATATATATATATATATATATATATCACCAAGAGAACCAGTAAATTACAAAATCATTTTATTTTTTTAACAAACTCATTTTAAAAATCCTTATATGGGGTTCTTGACTAATAATTTAGTTTTATTATGGTTAGTATTATGTGCATGTGATTATTACCAATTGTGGTATTTTGCAGATACCAATTAATGTGATGATAATTAGTTTCAATATCAAGTCATAGTATAATAAATACTCTGTAACTCATCATCAAATTTAATTTGTGCTACATTACCTAAATAGCAGCAAATTCTCTTGGGTGCTCCCAAGTTATGGCTGCCACGTGGGGAATCAAGATAAGGTAGGTAGCTTAAAAGCACCATGCTCCCAAAAGGTAAGAGAAGGCAGCCTTACACTCACACTAAGATTTACAATATCTTTTTTTTTTTTGAGACAGAGTCTCACTTTTGTTGCCCTGGCTAGAGTGAGTGCCGTGGCGTCAGCCTAGCTCACAGCAACCTCAAACTCCTGGGCTCAAGCGATCCTCCTGCCTCAGCCTCCCAAGTAGCTGGATACAGCATGCACCACCATGCCTGCTAATTTTGTATATATATTTTTAGTTGGTCAATTAATTCTTTCTATTTTAGTAGAGACGGGGTCTCGCTCAGGATGGTTTCGAGCTCCCAACCTCGAGCAATCCGCCTGCCCGCCTCCCCAGAGTGCTAGGATTACAGGCGTGAGCCACCACGTCCGGCCTACAATATCTTATATTCTGGTTCTCTTTCAGATCGTATAAATCTTTCACCTTTTAAAATGTCTTTAGTTTCTCACATTTTGCTGGGACTGGAGAAAACTTTAGACTGTTTACTGATATGTTTGGAAACCACTAGTCTTGACAATAAAAGCCTCAGTCAGTCTCAGGAAAAAAACACTCAGTTACCTGAGTACACAAAAAAGCAGAGTTGAAGATAAACACTTTATGCTGTTAAAAGTTCTATGGCAGACTTACCCCACACCACGCCATCCTTGACAAGTACTGAGCAATGCTGCTCCAGCAGCTGCGGCAAAACTGGTGCTGACAGGCCAGAGAGAGTAGGTTTTCCTTCCGCACAAACTGCATACACACTGCGCAGTGGTGAGAAGGATGGGTGTGGGACTGAAGAGAGGACAGCCACATAGAACCAAAGAGGAGCCTTAGGTCCAGGAGCCCTAAGGCCTTAATACAGGTGGGTGCATGGAAGGTAACACTGACTCTGCAACAAGTGTCAGAGCTCAACTGCAATGTGTGGACTCTGAGTTCTAAGAGTGCTAAGTACAAAGTATATACCAGGAAGGCTTCCTGAAGGAGGCAGCAACTGAGCTGAGCTTGCAGAATCACTAGCATTCAGACAGAAGGCCAAAATGAGAATTTACAGTGGTTTATAATGTCAGATTAGAAAACTCAGGATCTCAGAATTGCCAAGGTCCTTAGATCATTTAGTTCAACTTCTTTAGAAGCTATCAGGTTTCTTTTGTAAACTGCCCCCATTCATATAGCACAGAGTGACCCCTCAACAACTACAAACTCAGTCACAAAGTTCTTAGAGCTGAGTCTATAAAGGTTCTACGCCGTTTCCCGGAAAATAAGACAGGCTTATATTTATTTTTCCTCAAGAAGACACCCTAGGCTTATTTCAGGGATGTGTTATTTTCCCTTCAAAGCCTCAGCTTGCAGCACGCACGGATGGCCGGGACCTGACAGGGGGAGTTGACCTTGGTGGGGCTGCGCGCACCTTTCCAGTCACCTCTGGGATAGTAGCTGTCATGATGGGGCAGATGAGAAGGGCTGCTCATCTTCTTTACGGCTCTGTGATGAAATACATGGGTTGTGTAGATACACTGCGTAGCCACGCACACCACAAGGTCTTATTTTCTGGGTAGGGCTTATATTGTGCAAATGCTTAGAAATCCTGCTAGGGCTTATTTTATGGGTAGGTCTTATTTTTGGGGAAACACGGTAACAGCCAACGCTTCAGTTTTACTCGTCAAGGACAGTGGTTTTTCCATTCCAATATGCCCAAACCACAAAATATTACAGCTTTTACCAAGTTACAACTCATCCATATATAATACACCAGAGATGTCACATGTAATTAATTTAGAAGGATGGGGAAGACACCTACTAAGGAAGGAATTCTTCTAGGAAGTGGGGAAATAACTGTAAAGCATGAACTCCAGAATCCACACCACACCATGCTACACAAACTGGCAGACAATTTGGGGACCCTAAGCCAAAAACCACAAACCAATGAAAAAGTCCAATTACAAGTTTATATATCAGGTTCTTTTTAGTTCACTGGTAATATAAAAGGCAAGTTGAGGAAAAGAACTGGATTGTCATGTTTATCCAGTATGCTTTTGAAAACCTTATTTCTAAGAGGTTGCCGAAATTATATGGTGATCTGAACCCCAATTCTCCCTCCTAAGAGCTTTTTTTTAACATGGCCTTCATTCAAAAAACATTAAACAAATGTTTGTGGAGCTCCTAGATACACAGAAAATCACTATACATTGTTAAGTTACTGTTCCTATGGGAAGGGAGGTAAAATGATACGAGTTAATCACTACATCACATGTAAGAGCCTAAGATATAATTATGTGAGTTTGGAGGGGAGTGATCAGAGGAGACAGGCTTTGTGAAAGAGTCAGTTTGGATTTGGGTCTTTAAGGTAAATTCCATTCCCACAAATAAGATGGGGATAGAGTCTGAACATTCCAGGCCAGGGAAAGCACAAACAGAATCAAAGAGGTATGCAGTGATTTCAGGAAAAGCAAAGCACTCAGAGGAATCAAGTCCAGGCTGTGTGTAAGCACAGAGAGGAAGGGGAGGCTGGACAGGGCCCAAGCACAGGCTATGATTTACACCCTATCTACAAGGAATCTTTTCAAACCATAAAAGAAATAGAAGACTTAGGTCAATATTGGAATAAATATTTTGGGCGTGTTATGCTATAACAAAGCAAAGATGGTTCTCAATGTCACTGTAAGCCAAAGCAAGAGCCATGTGCATCAGGAAAAGGCCTACTCAAGTAGGAGACACTCACATGTTTTGATGGATTAGGCTGAACTCGAGCCTCAACTAGCAGTTGGGCAGAATTGGACTTGTATCTACAAAACAAAAAGCAGAAATAAAGGGAATCAGAAACTAAAGACATTTTTATCTTTGAGCAATAACAGACAGACCACTATGTGTTGTAGTCATACTGAAGTAGTCTTTGTCTCTAATTATCTCCTCACAGAACCAAGCTTCTTTTCACCTAAGTACAAAGACTTTTTTCTCTTTCAATTTTTAGCTCTCAATTGGTATAAGAAAAGTAACTCTGCCTCAAAGGCACTGAATTGTAAGAAAAATACTTATGACGGGCCAGATCTGTTTTAAATCCCTTTCTGGAAATACAGGCAAATATCTCTATATCTTCAGAATAGGAAAGAATTTTTTTTTTTTTTTTTTTTTGAGACAGAGTCTCAACTGTTGCCCAGGCTAGAGTGCTGTGGCATTAGCCTAGCTCACAGCAACCTCAAACTCCTGTGCACAAGCAATCTTTCTGCCTCAGCCTGCCGAGTAGCTGGGACTACAGGCATGCGCTACCATGCCCAGCTAATTTTCTATATATATTTAGTTGTCCCATTAATTTCTTTATATTTATTTTATTTATTTTTTAATTTCTTTTTATGTATAGTAGAGAAGAGGTCTGTCTCGCTCTTGCTTAGGCTGGTATCGAATTCCTGAGCTCAAATGATCCGCCTGCCTCAGCACCCCCAGAGTGCTAGGATTACAGGCGTGAACCACCAAGCCCAGCCCAAGAAGTTCTTAAGATACGGAAAATGAAAAATATAAATAAAAAGTCTGATAATTCATGTTTAAGGACTTCAGTTCATCAGAAGACACCATAAAGTGAAAAGTCAAGCCACAAACTGGAAGACACATATATAATTTATATATTATTTATGCAAAATTGGCAAAGGATTAGTATTCAGAATAAACAAAAACTCCTAAGAATCCATTTGGAAAGGCAATACAGTAAAAAACAGTAAAAAATATGGTAAAAAAAATTGGCAAAAAACTTAGGAATATCACGGAAGAGGCAGCACAAATGGCCATTAAACATATGAAAAGATACTCAACCTCCTCAATAATCTGGGATATTGAAATTAAAAACAGTTAAGATACAATTTACACCCACCAGCTTACAAAACTTTTATGAGAACATTGAAATACCACTGTTGGGAATGTAAAGTGGTACAATCACTTTGGAAAACAATCTGGCATTATCTAGTAAAGCTAAAGATACACATATGCCATAGCCCAGTAATTCCACTTTCTATATTTAACCTGAAAAAAATTATGTGACACTAGGAGTCAACTACAAGAATTTTCAGAGCTGCATTATTTTAACAGCTAAAGACTAAAAACTCACAAACGTTTTTTGACAGGCAGATGAATAAATGTCCTTTGACAGAAGGATGGCATAAAATGCAACCATGTTAATTTTAAAAGTTGGAAGACACAACATAATTCTGTATCTATAAAGTCCCCAAAACATACAAATAAAAGACTTAAGAGTGTAAACAAGAAAATGATCAACAGTGAATTCAAGACACTTGTTGCCTTAAAAAGGGAGGAAGGAAAAGGAAGAAGGGAAGGAAGGGGGTACAGCCAGGCAGGGATTGCCACAAGAGGCCTGAGTAAAGTCAGAGGGTTTCTTATTTGTATGGACACTAAAGCACTTACTTCAGTATTCTTTAACACTTACGAACATCACATACACAGTTTAAAAAAATAAATATCTTTCCTAATAAAAATTTAGTTCCATTCTGGAATGAAGGATGGCACATTAAAAAACATAATGTCCACTGTGACTGAAAAATAAACAAATAAATAAATACAGAATTATCACAAGTGCTACAAAAAGCCCAGCTAAACACATTTCCAAGACATCTGGAAATGGAGCAGGAAAGCATTATTTTTTATCTATGTGATTTCCCTATCTAGTCAGAATGTTTTCCTTCATTATACTTAATAATGGACCCATTTTATTATTAGTTTCCATACTAGTGTTCTAAGTATCTTTAGCCACCCAAATCTATACTCCTGAGTTATGCTGGAAGAATTTGGTTAGTGAGAGATACACCATAACCAGAACTTATGTGGATCTAGAGTTTGGGACAATAGTAACAATACTGAGCAGTTCATCTGCAATTCTACCTAAATGTGTTCAGCTCCCGAGTATAAAGCATGAGTGTAGTTAGTGAATCAGGAACTCATTTGCCCTTCTCTGATTGTGCTGAGATGTTCCAGCTGACATGGCCATTTCACTTGTGTTTAGCCTGGAGAAGGGAAGGCTTGATCTTCCTCTGTAGACAAATAAAATCACATCATACAGAGAAAGGAAGACTCACTGCTATGTGAAAGGGTATGGGTAGTAACCAGTTTTTCTCACCACAGAAAATTTTGTTACCCAGGGGTTATTTGACATTTCTAATTGTCAAGGACACAGAGGTGTTGCTACTATTGACTTCTAGTAAGTAGTGGTGTCGAGGGATGCTGCCAAACATCTATAATTCAGAGAATGGTCCCCCATAATAACAAAGAATTATCTAGGGCCGGGTGCAGTGGCTCACACCTGTAATCCTAGCTCTCTGGGAGGCCGAGGCGGGTGGATTGCTCCAGGTCAGGAGTCTGAAACCAGACTGAGCAAGATCGAGACCCCCATCTCTACTATAAATAGAAAGAAATTAATTGGCCAACTAATATATATAGAAAAAATTAGCCAGGCATGGTGGCGCATGCCTGTAGTCCCAGATACTCAGGAGGCTGAGGCAGCAGGATTGCTTGAGCCTAGGAGATTGAGGTTGCTGTGAGCTAGGTTGACACCACGGCACTCACTCTAGCCTGAGCAACAAAGCGAAACTCTGTCTCAAAAAAAAAAAAAGGAATTATCTAGCCCCAAATGTCAATAGTGCTGAGGATGAGAAACACTGAGCTAGACAAAGGCATAGGACTCTGAGGATGGGGAACAGGAGATCTCTACAGAGAATGTGGAAGAGGGGAAGGAACCCCTCTTCCCGACAACTTCTAAGACATCTTGAGACTTCAAGGTCTGTGCCTCAAAAGCTCTGGTTCTGGAGGAGCTGGAAAGAATACTCAAAATAGCCTGCTGGCAGAGGTGATGGGTGGCAAATTGGCCCATTTTTTCTAAAGGAAATATGTCATGTATTATGATGCATTCCTCACTTGATGTATCTAAAAAAGAAGTAACTGGAGATGCTGGCAAGTGTTATCTAGAAGGGCACTGATTAAAAATTAAGAATGGCGGCCAAGCAAGGTGGCTCATATCTGTAAAGCTCAGCACTTTGGGAGGCCAGAAGCAGGAAGATCACTTGAGGCCAGAAGTTTAAGACCAGCCTGGCAACATAGTGAAACTCTGTCTCTATTTTTTTTTTTTTAAATTAGCAGGGCATGGTGGTGAGCACCTATAGTCCCAGCTAATCGGGAGGCTGAAGCAGGAGGATCACTTGAGCCCAGGATTTAAGATTACAATAAGCTATGATCACACCTCTTCACTCCAGCCAGAGTAACAGAGCAAGACCCTGTCTCTAAATCAATCAATCAGGCACACTGGAAGAATATGCTCCAAAATGTAAACAATAATCACCACCAGGTGGGTGGACAAAGAGGGGTGCTATAGGTAATGTTATCTCCCCTCCCCCAAATATCTTACCTGTCCAATATCTCTGAGACTTGCCAGTGGAAATTAACTAATATAAGTTTAGCAACTGAATGAGATACCTAAAAAGAAAAAAGAGAAAAATCAAATTATAACCATAATTTCTTTTAGAGTGCTCCACATTTTGAGAAATGTATACATTCATGTCTATGCCAAGTCCAGGCTTGATTACCAAATTCCTCCTCTGGTTCTCTGCTTTGTCTTTTAAGTTCAGACTCTTATAATCTTAGTGATTTCATAGATCTCTTGATTTTCTATCTTTGTTTTCATTAATGACTCTTCCAAGAAAATTAATTTCATTTGTAACTTAGCAAAACCACCCCTTCTACAGTAAATAACAACATAGCATCCACTATAAGCAAGAGAGCTATGGGTTCCCTGATGTGACAGAAGTTCCCTCAAGCTACTATAGGCAGTCCACCTCCAGTTAGGCCTATTACTTGCAGAAAATCTTGAGATCTGGACTTCTTGTATTAATATAAATCCCACACAAAAACACCCCAAAACCAAAAGACAAAAAAATAGTAATCCTGTTTAAAATGCCTGAATTCCCAGCAGCCATTGAGCCCTAATTGCAAGGACAGTTCAAAAGCTTGTAAGTAGCCTTTCTAGTCCCTAGATTCAATTAGGGGACAATTAAAGCACATAGTTATGGCCATCAAAGAACCTCAGAAGGTGCTCTGAGCTAGCCATTCTACTTCTGTAGATTCCTCTAGAGGAAATGATAGAGGATATGCACTGTAGTATTATTTACAATAGTAAAAAATTAGAAATAACCTAAGTGTACAACAAAAATGAGCATGATAATATATGACAAATCCATACAATGGACTACCATGTATTAATAGTTATTGAAAAGGATGCTATGTTTCTACTGACATAGAAAGAAGTTTGCTTTTTTTTTTTTTTGAGACTGTGTCTCACTATTTTGCCTAGGCTGGAGTGCAGTGGCTATTCACAGGTGCGATCACAGCACACTGCAGCCTAGAACTCCTGGGCTCAAGTGATCCTCCTACCTCAGCCTCCTGAGTAGCTGGGACTACAGGTGCTTGCCACCATGCCTGGCTTAGAACGTCACATTTTAACGTTAGGTTAAAGAAGCAAGTATTTATAATCCTACCACTCTGGAAGGCTGAAGCAGGAAGATTACCTGAGCTCAGGAGTTCAAAACCAGCCTGAGCAAGACTGAGACCCTGACTCTACTAAAAATAGAAAAATTAGCCAGATGTTGTGGTGTACCCCTGTAGTCCCAGCTACTTGGGAGGCTGAGGCAGGAAGATCACTTGAGCCCAGAGTTTGAGGTTGCAGTGAGCTATGATGACGCCACTACACTCTACCCACAGTGACAAAGTAAGATTCTGTCTCAAAAAAAAAAAAAAAAGAAGCAAGTATGAAGAAAGTTTCTACATGTTATACCATAATATCTTGCTAATTGGGAAATAAAGCAGTTACAAAACAAAACCACCTGAGCATCAAGACTCAGGTGAGATCACAGAAGATTAGGATGTGTTTGGAGCCCTGTATCAGGCTTCCCAGTGAAAGCACTACAAAGAATGAGGGTGCTACTAAAGCAAGGAGAAACTGGAGCAGACTTAAAGCTAGGGAGCCAAGAAAACAAAGAACCCTAGTCCTCTGCTCAGTGGACTGAGTCCTTAAATAGAAGCTACCAAGGAACTATAAGGTAGTATGTACCTGATCCAAAGATAAGAACTGCAGAGGGGAAGATACACAGTGACCAACATGTGATTCCCCACTCCTAGAGCTCAAGTCACTCCTGAAAGTAGGTGCAAGGGCACATCCCAGAGCACGACTGCCTAAGGCTGTGCAATCAGTGAATGCCTTCCTGTCCTTACAGTCCAGGTAAATCTGGGGAAAACCAAGGGCTCACGAGAGCTTGCTTCACTCAGGACAGGAGTCCCCATTTCCCTTCCACAAAAGGTAAGAGGCATCTGACTCAAACATCCCGCCATGGTATATTCTTGTTGAGGCCCATGGAGACTTTAGGCCTAGGTTTCCTGAATTATAGCTAATATTTTTCCTGTGTCTATAATGAACTATACATCCCCAACAGACCACTATCACAAAATGAAAACAAAGACAAGACATCTTTTTAAACTTTTTTAAACAACTCCTTGAATGTAGCTTCTGTCTATAAATTCATTCATTCTTTTTTTTGAGACAGAGTCTCACTTTGTTGCCCAGGCTAGAGTGAGTGCTGTGGCGTCAGCCTAGCTCGAGTAATCCTCCTGCCTCAGCCTCCCGAGTAAGCTTGATACAGTATGTGGCACCATGCCCGGCTAATTTTTCTCTATATATTAGTTGGCCAATTAATTTCTTTCTATTTATAGTAGAGACAGGGGTCTCGCTCTTGCTCAAGGTGGTTTCAAACCCCTGACCTTGATCAATCCACCTGCCTCGGCCTCCCAGAGTGCTAGGATTACAGGCATGAGCCACTGTGCCCGGCTCGCTCTCCATCCATCCATCCATCCATCCATCCATCCATCCATCCATCCATCCATCCATCCAGAGACAGAGTCTCTGTTGCCCGGGCTAGAGTGCCGTGGCATCAGCCTAGCTCACAGCAACCTCAAACTCCTGTGCACAAGCAATCCTTCTGCCTCAGCCTCCCGAGTAGCTGGTACAACAGGCATGCACCACCATGCCTGGCTAATTTTTTCTATATATTTTTAGTTGTCCAGCTAATTTCTTTCTATTTTTAGTAGAGACGAGGTCTCACTCTTGCTCAGGCTGGTCTCCAACTCTTGACCTTGAGCAATCCTCCCACCTCGGCCTCCCAGTGTGCTAGGCTTACAGGGATGAGCCACCGTGCCAGGCCTACAAATACTTTTTAAAAACATGATAGTGCGGCCGGGTGCAGTGGCTCACACCTGTAATCCTAGCACTCTGGGAGGCCAAGGCGGGTGGATTGCTTGAGGTCAGGAGTTCAAAACCAGCCTGGGAAAGAGCGAGACCCTGTCTCTACTATAAATAGAAATAAATTAATTGGTCAACTAATATATATATATAGAAAAAGTTAGCCGGGCATGGTGGCGTATACCTGTAGTCCCAGCTACTAGGGAAGTTGAGGCAGTAGGATCGCTTGAGCCCAGGAGTCTGAGATTGCAGTGAGCCAGGCTGACGCCATGGCAATCACTCTAGCATTGACAACAAAGTGAGACTCTGTCTAAAAAAACAAACAAACAAACAAACAAAAACCATCATATTGATACTGTTTTGGATGAACTCTTTGCTGGAACCTTTTTTGTTTTCTCTTACCCAGTGGGGCCCATTCAGCCCTATACTCACTGTTTTCAGGCCTGACTTCTAAATGTCTCATTATGCTGTGGCAACCAAAGGCACTGAGCTACCAAGGAAACTCAGAGGAGTTCTGGCCATGTCCAGCAGCCTCCTCTCTTTATCACCAAAGATTGCTCAGGTGAGTTCTTTAAGAACAGAGATCAAGCTGCCTCTCACAGATCCATAGAGCCCAAAACTGGATCAGACACAGGGTGGCCACTCACTATACGCCGATTATTAAATGATATGATGTCTTTAACCTGTGGATTTTCAAAATAAAATTCTGTTTCATCAGGAAGGTCAAGAAATTTTAACACTGTACACCTGGCCTAATCCCTTGATCTCAACAGCACTAACAGCCACAATGAAACCAAAAATTTCCTGATGACATGTCTGTTAACAACCAACTCAATAGCCCAGCTGAGATGAATTCTAGTTGGAATCATGTGAAGAGAGGATACACCTATCACTTTATAAAAGTGACAGTGAAGTGAATCTATTCTTTTAGTACCAACAGCTGAGAATACATCAATATCTACAATATTGTAGGCACACACAAGCATTAGTTGCATGGATCTCCCAGTAGCCCTCTGCAGGAATTCTGAGACCATTAATTAAGGCAAAATGCAGTGTGACTGCACTTCACCCAGTAATCCTGATCAGGGACGATCTATAGGAAAGCCAGGTTCCAAAGTGCCCTCTAAGCAAAAGCAGCAGGAGGATGTAGGAAGACAATAAGAGAACAGTACATTAGAAGAATTTATTCTAAAAGGCAGTCTCAGCAGGGAGTCCACTTTCTCCCTTATTTGGGCCACAAGAGAGAATTGACTGCACCTCTCCTTTACCCAGCAGTTTTCCAGAGGAAGTGCTGGCCACCTTAACCTCCTGGTAGGTAGGCCAGAATAAACTTTGTGGATAATGTCAAGCCACATTCAAGGTTAAAAAAAAATCTATCTAAGGTGCAAAACAGCTGAGCTTTCTAAAGAAAGAATGCATATTCACACCATTACTGTTTAATGCTCAAAAGGCTCAACAATCCACTATGAATCTATTAGAGTCAACAATTTTACACCTGGGAAGAGTCTGCTACCCTTGTTACTCATTAGTATGTGTTCAATTGTGGAGAGAAAACATCTCAGCAGAATCAAGAGAACTCTTGCTGGGCTGTTTTGATCAAGGAACTAACAACTTATGGTGTTAAGGATTAAGTATTATCAAGACAACTTATAAAAAATGGCCAAACCTTTTCTTAAAAGAAAAATGGGTCCAAGGTAGTAATCAACCACTGAAAGCCAAAAAAGACTAATGACTTATGAAGAAACAAATAATGACCAACCTTGTTTCAGAATAAACTTGCAGTTCTGTTAGATCAACATGTAAACAATGGATTAAAAGTCATATTTATTGGTTGGGCACAGTGGATCACACCTGTACTCCAAGCACTCTGGGAGGATTGCTCAAAGTCAGGAGTTTGAGACCAGCCTGAGCAAGAGCGAGACGCCGTCTCTACTAAAAATAGAAATAAATTAGCTGGACAACTAAAAATATATAGAAAATATTGCCAGGCATGGTGGCTCATGCCTGTAGTCCCAGCTACTCTGGAGGCTGAGGCAGTAGGATGGCTTGAGCCCAGGAGTTTGAGGTTGCTGTGAGCTAGGCTGATGCCATAGCACCCCAACCCCGGGCAACAGAGATTCTGTCTCAAAAAAAAAAAAAAAGTCATATATATTTATTTATGAAGGCTTGTTCTATTTCTAGAAACACT